GGGGCATGGAGAGGAATGGAGGGTGACTGCAGACCAGTATGGGTTTCCTTTTGGGGTGCAATCTAAATCTAAATTTAGATTGTGGTCATGGGTTTATAATTCTGAGCATATTAAAAGCATTGAACTGTACACTTTGAACAGATGAATGTTATGGTATGTGAATTATATATCTATTTTTTTGTTTAAAAAAATATCACAAAACTCATCCCAACTCCCCCTTAGTTCACTTACTCAACAAACATCTCTTGAGCCAGACCCCGTCGTGGGGGTGAGCATGCAGACAGGTCCCCTGCTGTGCTGGAGCTCACCTTTTGGAGGGTCATTTCAGTGAAATGAGGGGAATAAAGCTGGGTAAGGAGGCGGAGGAGCAGAACTTGGGGAGGGTAACTGAGGTGGTCAGGGAAGGCCTCTCTGAGAAGGTGACATTTGAGCTGACACTTGAATGACAGGAGAGAGCCGTGCATGCAGAGAACGGGGGGAGAGGCCTTACTGGCCAACAGCACTGCAAGTCCAGCCAACCTGTAAGGAGCACTCCCTGGGAGCCCAGCACCCACTGGGCCAGGACCCGCCCTCAGGTACCTGGCGCAGCCCAGACCTGAATCTGCAGGCAATGAGTCGTGCCTTAGGATGGGATCTTCCCCAGACAGGCTGGGCTGTTCCTCTCTCTGGGGACCCCCAGGCATTACACAGAGCCCTGAACAGCTGGGGTATCAGGGCTGGGGTGACCCAACTAGAGGGGGCTGCTTCTTCCCTGGCCCCTTCCTCAATCTGAGTCACCCTTCGCTATCACCCTGGCTTCAACTGTAGTCCCCAGCCTGCCCTAGCTCCGAGAGGGAGCCCCGTCTCTGGCTTCTCATCCTCTCGCTGGGCTGCCTGCCCCTGTGGGGCGGGGAGGTGTGCACATGCCTGACCCCTCCTCGGCTCTGTTCGCTGTCCTCTCCCCCGGGCTTTCCAGGCCAGGGGTCATCCAGGGGGAACAGGGGGACCCTGTGCATCAAAGATGTGAGCAGAATGTCAGTGCCCCCCTGGAGGCCACTCATTTCAATCTGGGGTCACTCTCTTTGGTGATAAGGGGCTGGGCTTCAGCAGTAAGTGTCCCCACCCCTGGCGGGTGGAAGACAGGACAGGCAGCTGATGTCTTACTACGAGGATCCTTCCCCTGTTTGGAAGCCAAGTAGCCCCTCGTCTTCTGGGCCAGGGAAGTTGCCCACAGCAAAGCCAGGTCAAGGTGATCACGTGTGTTCTCTGGGTAAGACAGAGCACTTGGTTGACAAGGTCAGCAGTGTGCTCAAGGCCACACAGCAAACTGGTGGGGCTGGCACCTCCAGCAGAGCCACCACCAGGCAGGGGGAGGACCTGGCTCCCTGCCCTCCCTCCCTGTTGGCACCTTCCGTGTGGAGCTGGCAATGAGTAACTGGGACATTTCTCAGGCTTCCTAAAGAAGGGTTCCCTGGACGGTTGGGGCTGTTCCTGGGAGTGGGGCTCTTCCTATAATTGACCTGAGTTAACCTCTGAACCTAGGACCAGAGGAGGGCAGGTCGATGATACCGCACTGGCTTTGCCTGGATTGGGAGTCAGGAAACCGGATCCCAGCTCAGCATTACTCTGCCCTCCTCCCCTGTCTGGGCCCGGTTCCTGATCTGTAACATGAGGGGCAGGACTCTTCTGTCATGTTGTCACTCTAGCTGTTCCTGGACCAGCCTCCAAAGTCACCCCGGAGGGAGCTGCAGCAGGAACAGTGGCAGAGCCTTGGGGGCGAGTCACAGAGCTGGCACCAGCCCCTGCGCCCTCCTGTACAGCATGTTTCTCTGGGCCTGGCAGTCCTCTCTCGGGGAGCCCGCAGGGAGGGGTGAGCATCGGGGCGGGGGACCGCAGGTGACAGGGAAGATCCCAGTGAGTGAGAAAGGAGGACAGGCTGGAACATCACACTGACTGCATAGCAGCGTCATGCGGCGGAGTCCACTAGCCCCGTCTTATAGTGGAAGAAACTGAGGCTCAGAGCGCCACCCGCTGGGAAGTGGCAGAGGGGCCGGGCCAGTGTTCTAATTACAGAGCTGTTTTGCCATTATTATTTAAAAATTATCAATTATCGACTTTCCTAGAAGGGGCCATTGACCAAACCATTAAGTGGCCAGGCTGATTAGTATATTTCAGTCTGGCTCTGGGGTGCACGTGAGACCCCCTTTTCTCAGCAACAATATGCTGTTCTAAAGAGACTTGTTCAGGCTGATTTCTGGAATGCCCAGGAGAAGCCCTGATTCAACCACGGTTTCCCGAGGTGTGGCACCGCCATTCACCGGAACGGGTCTCCATCCCCTGGTACAATCTGGGCCCTTCCTTGGCCCCCCTGGTGGGCAACAGGCTCACAGCACCGCCCAGGGGGTGGCAGGAGATGTGGGCACATCTCCGCAGCTTCTCCTTCCTGCCGGTTCTCTCTTTACGCCTCCCTCCTGCCTGTCCCTGGGCCTTGCGACAAGAAAGCCCCTGTGGGCATCAAGTGTCCTCACGAGTGATAAGGCGAGAAGACACAGATAGAAGAGAGGCCTGGACAGGGCAACCCGCTGGCCTCAGCCCTTCTCCAACCCGGCCCCTTTCCTGAGCCTCTTGCTGCTCCACTCGGTGCCTTCTGGTGCCTCTTGGTCTCTGTCTCTCTGTCACCCCCATACAGTCCCACATCGGCCCCCCAACAGTCTCCAGTCCCTTTCCCCAGGCCATCCTGTGTGCAGTGACAAGACACGCCTTCCTCCAGCACTGGTTCCCTTTCAGTAGCAACATCCAGCCCCTTCCCAGGGCCGAGCGCAGTGCCAGGCCTGGGGCCCCGCAATGAATGGGCTGCAGCAGATGCCTTGGGAGGCCTGCGATGAAGCCAGCAGTTATAATATAAAGCCTCTGGAGATCCCATAAACACCAGCAGAGGAACCGCTGGGGGCCCATGTTCTAGAGACTGTAGCGATTCGCCACTGCTTCCTGAGACAGGGCTCTGCACAGCCCAGCCTCTCGCTCCCTGCTGGCCGCCCCCTCCAGCCTGGCTGGGGCTGAGACCCGGCACCAGCCTTCTCACACCCCACACATGCCCCCCTTGGAAGAACAGCGTGGCATGGAAGACTCGGGTTTAAGTCCAGGCTCTGTCGGCTACGTTCTCGGCCTTCCCCAGCCTCAGTCGACTTGTGGGTCAGAAATTGCAAACTCTCCCTCAGCATTGTCACGTGCACAGATGTCTTGGCCGGGTAAACGGATGTTAGTGTTGCCCTGGAAACCAGCTTTGCTTCCCCGCATTGCCCCACGGCCACCGTCCCACCTCCCCTTCCCTCAGGACTTCGCTGCGGGACCGATTCCTGATCCCCTTGCTCAGGTGTGTTGGGGCAGTGTGATGGTGTGTTCCTTTCTTCGAGTGGTTGTACTCAGAGCATCTGTGCTTCACCACGGATACAAAGCAGTGATTCAGGTGGCGGAAATGTCGCCCACTGTGTACTAGGTCAATGCAGGGGACATCTGAGAGGGAGAGAGGGGACCCTCTTGGTATTCCTGAAGCTGGGCCACCCAGGGGGCCCGTAGTCTACCTGTGTGGTGAAAGGAAGGGGAGAGAGAGCGCTGTTCTGCAAGGGCCGCTGTTCTTAGTGCTCTCAGAGTTGCAGGCATTGCCTCTGTGTTGGCACCATGGGGGAAATTGTGGCGCAGCCACCAGGCTGCAGGAAGCAGAAGCTCGGTGAGGGTGAGCGGTCCAGGCTCTCGGTGCTGGGCCGCAGCAGGGCTGCTGGGGTGGGGGTGGGGGCTGGGGCCTCCCCACAACGTGGCCTCCCTGCTGTCTTCAGGGGACCAGGGTGGAGTGGGTGACAGGCGGGGGTCCTGCTCAGCAATCTCGCCGGCAGGCCACTGGAAACAAGCATGTAACGGGCTGCCGCTGTCAGCAGAGCCCCTGATTCCAGAGTCAGTCAAAGACAGGAAAGATGAGAAGCTGAGAGCCAAGGGATCAGAGGCAAGAACCTCCTGGAACAGACAGCTTGCCAGGGTTTGGGGGGCACTTCTCTCTTCTCTGGTGTGTTAGAAATTCAGACGTGTCTTCTTGCTACATACCCCACACCCCTCCAGGTTCGGCAGCCACAGAGGCTGACTGGGGCTCCCCAACTTTTCCCAATTTAAGAAAGCTTCTCCACAACTTCCTTCCAGAGCCGTCTTGCTGCCCAGTCTCCCCGGCTCCACAGTAGCCTTTCACACGGGTCCCAGAAAATATAAACCTTCGCTCCTTTCTCTGAGAGTGTTTGTCGGCCAGAGTGTACCTACCAAAAAGGCCGTAACGGAGCCTTCGACACTTCTTTCGTTCATTTCCGCATCCATTCACTCCCTCGTGGAGAACGGCCGCAGCCTGGCTGTGGTGGGCTCCTGGGGGCGGGGCGCGCTGCCCGTGGGGACGGCCACAGAAGCCTCCCATCCAGACTCTGGCCAGGCACAGGGCCCGTCGCCTCTGCCCATACAGGGGTCACCAGATTCCTCCAACGCCTTGCGGTGGGCTGTGCGGCCCTCGAGGGGCCTGCGTTCCATTCCCGTGTGGACAGTGCACACTGCGGCCCGGCTTGGGGATCTGGGGTCCGGTTCCATCGCCCACCGCACCTCCGGTTTCATGCATGTGCCACAGTTCCTTTGAAATATTTGAAGAAGATTCCTCTCTAATCATTGATAGGTAAACCATGTTAAATTGCTTATAAGTAAAATAATAGCGGTCACGCTTTGGTAGAGCCCCTTGCATCCACCCCTGTCACATGCTTCTCTGGAGTCCTTGGCACCAGCCTGGGGGTGCTGTTCTCTGAGACTGAGACACGTTAAACATCTTTCCTCTAACCCACAGCCAGTGAGAGGCGGGGCTTCTCCCTTGGCTTCCTTCCCCCGCCACCGGAGGGTGGGGAATGGTCCCCTGGGGCCACCCAGTGCATGGAGGACAAGGAGGGCGCTGCGTTTGGCAGGGCTCTGCGCCCCTCCACTGACCTCAGCCTCTGTGACCACAGCCTGGCCCAGTCCCTGTGGGCGCTCTTCACCTCTTCTCTGACCATCTCCCTGGTGTTCGCTGTCATCCCCTTCTGCCGCGATGTGAAGGTGCTGGCCACTGTCATGGCGCTGGCAGGCCTGGCCATGGGCTGCATCGACACCGTGGCCAACATGCAGTTGGTGAGGATCTACCAGAAGGACTCGGCCATCTTCCTCCAGGTGAGCCCACAGTGGTGCTGGGGCAGGGCGGGGGGGGGGGGCCTGTCCACCCGTCCATCTCTCCTGGCCCCTTCTCCCCCTGACCTCAGCGACTTTTTCTCTAGGCCAGGGTGCTGGAGCACAAAGAGCACCAGGGTCTGAGTTCGGTGCAACCAGCTAGGCTGGGATCTCTGCACTTGGTAATGACCCCTGCCTGCGGGGGTCACAAGCATCTAAGCGCTAACCAGAAAACTTTCTGTCGACAGGAAGCGGCATGATGGGAGGGCTTGCTGTTTGCCTCCGGCTCCTTCCCCCCTCTGTCTGCATTTCTCCTCCTTTCCTCATCCTCCACTTACCCACGACTCTGGCTCCGCCCTTCCCTGTATTAAGCGACCTCCCTTTAGTGGATGCTAACACGGGAACAACCTCTCACTGGGGGTGAAGATCTGGGAAAGGAAGGAGAGTAAGAGAGGGGATTGGTCCCTGTCAGCAAGTCACCCCAGGACACGCAGGTGGCTGAGGAGCGCATCCTTCCTCTCTCCTGCCTCCCGCTCCCTTGCTCCCCTTGGGCTCAGCAGGGGCTCCCCAGATGGGGCACCAGGTGGGGTACGGGTATGAAACTGGGGCCATCACCCCATCCTTTCTCTCCTCCCTCCCCAGGTTCTTCATTTTTTTGTGGGTTTTGGGGCTCTGCTAAGCCCCCTTATCGCTGACCCCTTCCTTTCGGAGGATGACTGCTTGCCTGCCAATGCCACAGCCAACGCCACTTCCAGCAGCCACCTCTTCCATGCCTCCAGGGTCCTGAGCCACCGGTCTTGGTCGAACGGGACGCTCCCTGGGCTGTCCACGCCAGACCGAGCAGGAACCCGCGTGTCCTACGCCTTCTGGATCATGGCCCTGATCAACGTGAGTACAGCCGGGGTGGGCTGGGTGGGGCCGGGCAGGCAGTCACGTGGACCAGTCCATTCCCGCTCCAGGCTAAGGTTCATCTGTCTCTGAGATATGAGCTGGGGCTATGCGCGTCCTCAGGAGGACAAGAGGGTGGGAGAGCTGACCCCCAGGGTCTATCTGAACACAAAGAGGGTTGCAAAAGGTTCCCTCTGAGGTCCTTCGGCTGGGACCTCCTGTGAGTGCAGTTCTCATGGGAGAGGCAGCAGTGAACGGCTTTAGCACCATGAAACCAGGGCCGCCTTTCAAGTCATTCCAGGTTCTGTGGGAGAGCCAGCCCTGTCCTCTGAGGTTGGATGAGGCTGACCCTGGGGCAAGCACTGCAGGGCGGGACAGGCTCTTCTCCAGGGCCCTCAGCGGCCGGTGGGATTCGCCTGTGCCCTGCTGTGAGGGCAGCTCCTCTGAGGCAGGGCCACCTGCCAGGGAACCCCTGCCAAGGCTGCCTTGGAGGGAGCACAGCAGCAGAGACACAACCGACTCGCTGTGACCGAGCCAGACTCCGAGGCCCCTCGGAACCCCCAGCTCCACCCTCCCGGTCAGCTCCGCCTGCTCTCTGGCAGGAAACCGCCTCTGGCGCTCTGCAGCCTCAGGAGGGCTCTCCCACGTGAGCCTCGGCTGTGGCCAGGAGTGGGGGGGAGACTCCCCCAGCCCAACGCCTGCCCCCGCGTGGGAAAGACTGCCAGGAACACCAGGAGCAGCCCTGGCCTCCCGACCTGGGCCTCGAGTGGGCCGGGGGTGGGGAGGGTTCCAGCTGGCCACTGGCCTGCTGGCTGGGGAGGGAGTCACTGTGGGCTCGTCACTCTGAGAACTTCTGCACTGGGCAGACCTGCCAGCCCTCCAGAGGAAGGCCGCTGGGTGCAGGCTTCTGCTGGGGCTCAGAGTGACGCTGTGCATGTTGAGACCTCAGTGCCCCACCGAGCAGCAGGGTGTCACACCGCCTCTGGCTCGAAGGCCTGATAGCAGCCGGCGTGAGGCCCGGCCCGGCTGGAGCCCAACTCTGGCACAGCCTCCCAACCGCTGCCCAGCCATCACGGCCCATTTCCCCTTCTCCTCCTCCGTGACCCTCCATTCCTCCAGCAGAGTCTTCCCCAGGGGCTCAGAAATGCCCCCTCTCCCTCTGCTCTTTTCCTTTTCTGCCCAGCCTGCCATTGTTTGGGAACAATGCGGCTTCGGGCCTGATCTCTGCAAGGGGGACTGTGGAGGGAGGGAGACTGCCAGTACAAAGTCGAGGCTGGGCCTGTGGGACCGGAAGCTGGCCCGTCCAGCATCATGAGCCTGAGGTCTGTTTTCTCTTGCCCCGCAAGGCGCAGGCTGGAGGCACTTCGTTTGATGTGGGATTTCCTACTTTTCCCATCAGTTTGTGTCTGGAGATAAACAGTCACCACGGAGGAGAGTGAGGCTCTCCAAGCACTCGGGCACATGTGCACAAACACACACTCATGTGCACACACAGGAGCAGCCCACCTGGCACTGTCTGACTCTAAGGCGGAGCCTGCCTTCCCTGGGCCGCCCGCACAGGTGGAGTGTGTTCCTGCAGCAGGGCCCCGGGTGGGGTCCTTCTTGCCGCCCACCTCCCCGGAAAGCCCCGCCCGGGCAGCCGGCCCCTTTTACAGCTGCCCCCTTGGCTTTCACTCAGGCGTTCTGCCAGCACAGGTGTTCAAGCTTCCTGTCTCCCCCCGCAGACTGGAGGGAGAGCTGCATCTCCTCCTGCGGACCTGGCACTCCTGAGGGCCAGGACTGTCTTTTTCCGTTCAGGCCCAAAGTGTGGCTCTAGCTCTGCAGGCGGAGTCTGACTTTGCCTTGGTTTTGAGTGTGAAGGGAGGCTCCCGAGGTGGCCAGAGGTCGGTGTCAGCACAAGGCTGGTGTTCAGGTGACTTGGAAAATGCTCAGGAGCCAGCCTGGCTCCATGCTAGAGAAGGCTCCTCAAAGCAGCCCCAGACAGACTTCCGCCTCTATCCTCGTTCAGCCCAGAGGAGCCCAAGGGCCTCTGGGAAACTTCCACAGCCCCCTGCTTCCTCTGTCCCCTAAGCAGGAGGAACTGCATGGAGCCGCTGCAGCAAGGCAGAGGCTAGACTGGATGAGGGTGCCCTGGCAGCCAGGGTGGTTAGACAGAGGCGGGGCACCCGAGGGAGGTGGCAGAGGCTTCTGCGGGCAACTCAGAAGCAGGAGGCATTTCTCATCACTCTAGGGCCTCGGTTTCCAACCGGTGTGGCACGAGAGGCCCGCAGGTGAGCCCCCCAAATTTTAAACATGCAGCGTCTGACTGTTTAGTCTGGGGCACTGATCCCTTTTCCTGTAGATTTTCAAATTAAAAATACGACATCAGCCCTGACCAGTGTGGCTCAGTTGGTCGGGTGTCATCCCACGAATGTCGCTGGTTTGATCCCCAGCGAGGGCACAGGCCTGGGGTTGCAGTCTCGGTCCCTGGTCGGGCGCGTTTGAGAGGCAGCTCAGCAGGGTTTCTCTCCTCTTCTCCCTCCCCACCTTCCTCCCTCCCTCCCTTCCCCCTCTCTAAAAATAAATAAATAAAAACCTGTAAATTACACCTATTTTTTGGTCAGAGCAGCAAACAACGTACTTCGTTTTGGTGTGCTGCAGAATTTTATGTGTGTGCCCTATGATCAGAAAGGTCGAAGAGCACCGCCCCAGAACTCTGGGGCGTTCATAAAACCTAAGCGACTTAACGTAAAAAATAGCAGTGAACTTAACATTGGGCTTGTGTGTGTGTGTGTGTTGCTTGCAGTAAGCATTTTTTTAAAGCAAAAGGAGTGCACACCTCTGTTTTCCCGTTTAGATGCCCAGCTCCACGCCTGAGGACAGCCTCAACCCTCTTAGGGTGCACCATCCCCCAGACGGCCCCCCGGGGTGGAGATGGCACTGGACAGGCTCAGGATGCCCCAGGGACAGTCCCGCTCTGCCCCAAGCCAGCTGTGTCACCAGCACTGATGCTCGCTGGGCCTCTAGCTGACCCCTCAGGTCTATCCCCGTTTAATGGGTTCTGACTAAGTGGTAACTCCAAGCCTGCTTGCCCCATCTGGAAAACGGAGATGATAATTCCCCCAGCAGGTTCATAGGACGGTGATGAATGGAAGCAAAGCTTCTTTGGAAACAAGTCTGTCTCTGGCACCTTTCCTGTGCCCACGGAGATCCTGTGTGAGTCTAAACTTTGCATGTGACAAACACCTGACTCTTCAGGGAGACAGATGTCATTGAGGTTGAGCAGCAATTCCACCAGCCTGCCCTGGGTCAAGACCACAGTAGCGGGGGACACCTCTCAGGTGGGCACCCTTGGAAAAGAGTTGTCTCTTCCCAGGACCTGGGGGCCTACGCAGGGGGCCAGGCACAGGAGGGGGAGCCTGCCGGGAACAGGGCTGTCCTGACCCTCTGCCTCCCCCCAGCTCCCGGTGCCCATGGCCGTGCTGTTCCTGCTGTCCAAAGAGCGGCTGGTGGCCTGCTGCCCCCAGAGGAGGCCACTGCTCCTGTCTGCAGATGAGCTCGCCCTGGAGACACAGCCTCCTGAGAAGGAAGACGCTTCCTCGCTGCCCCCAAAGATTCAGTCACACCCAGGTGGGGGCTCTAATGAACTTTCATGCTCACAGCCCCATACAGAGGCTACTCTGGTGACCCCTCCCCCAGAGGGGGAAGGTAGATCACAGGCGATAGTGGTTGGAGAATAACCTTGGCACCATGAGGCAGGAGATGGAGCAGCCTCGCCCGGGGAATGAGGAAGGCACACTTGTGCTCTAACCCCCATTCTGCCTACCCCTGCTTGTGTGACCTTGGGCAAGTTACCCGACCTCTCTGAGCCTTGCATTCACTGGGGCTGTGAGGTGGCCAGGGGCTGTTTCTGACAGATGGTTGGTTGAAGCTAGAGAAGGTAGGAGGCACCAGGTGGTCCTCCTTTCTGCCGGCGGCTTCCGTGGGGCACGCAGAGGCGGGGAGCAGCAGCTAAGACTCACCGGGGCTTCCTGTGTCTCACCCAGCACATGAAGACCTGTTCAGCTGCTGCCAGAGGAAGAACTTCAAAGGAGCCTCTTACTCCTTCTTCGCCATCCACATCGTAGCTGCCCTGGTCCTGTTCATGATGGATGGGATCACGGTGAGCCTGCCCTCAAGGTGCACCTTCTTGGGGGACCCTCCACCCTGAGACTCAAACCTGGGGATGGCGAGAGAAAGAGAGGAACATCAAGGTTTCCTAGAGACCTCACCTATAGTTCAGTTGATCCAAAAATTTAAACAAAACAAAAGTCCTGTGGGAGACTGTTTCTGGGATCACTCACAGACCCTGAGTACTATGGTCTTCTGTCCCAGCCAATTGTTCACATTTTCCTTAACCTGTGGATAGGGGCCCACGGGTCTGTTACTGAGTGCAGGCCACCCACACTCTTTTAAAGGGGCAGAGCCCTGTTCTGCCACGTAGAAATCATGCCAAGTGAACTCCAGGACACTGCTTCCTGGAACATTCCACACCTGGGCTGCTTAAGCCACACTGTAAAAACAAGCTACAGGCCCAGCTGTTCGGTCCACCAGTGACCTCTGTCACACTATTTAATGCCTTTTCCCAGAAATCTCTAAGGATTAGATTATAACAGTTTTAAATGGCTGGTTAACTGATTGCCATGTGAGGGACTCTCCAAAGAGAAGGCCCTACAAACTAGGTGACCCAGTAGCAGGTACTCGTGACCGTGCTGGTTGACTCCCAACGCTCGGTGTGACCTTGGGCAAGTCACTTCTCTCTGCCCTCTCAGCTGTAAAATGAGATGCTTGTACACGCCTTTTCTTTTTCCTGCAGCAAAACAAACTTTCTTCAACAGAAAACTTTCTGTGGAATCCTGATAAATAAGACAATTACTGGAGCCCTGCTCTGGTGAAGGGGCTGCAGAGCTTTCGTGCCCAGGCCCCTCGGGCTCCCTGTGGGACGCCCCCCCTGGAACCCAGAGGCCTCTGCTGGGCAGTCCAGGAGCTGTGGCCCTCGGGCCTTCTTCTCAGCTCCAGCCTGTGTGTGCTGTGTGACCCTGGCCCCAAGCCCGCTTTTTGATGAACCCCTGGGGGCAGGGCCTCCCCACACCCCCATGGCCAGGGCTCCCGGTCCCAGGACCGTGGACCGGCCGCACTGCGGGTGTGCTCAGCAGGCCCTGCCTCTCCGCAGGGGGTGTATTCTACCTTCGTGTACAGCTATGCTGTGGAGAAGCCGCTGTCTGTCGGACACAAGGTGGCCGGTTACCTCCCCAGCCTCTTCTGGGGCTTCATCACCCTGGGTCACCTTGTCTCCATTCCCATCTCCTCCAGGATGAAGCCAGCCACCATGGTGTGCATCAACGTGGTAAGTGGCCTCCTGTCACTTCTCGGAGGAGACGTGGAGAACCGTTCCCTCCTAGCCCTGCCACTGCACCCAGACTCTCTCTCAGGACGGAGCTCTGCCACCAGAGTGGGACTGTAGGAGCAGAGGGAGGGGGGGAATGTTGGTGAAGGAGGGGTGCTGTGGTCTCGGAGGGGTCCCTTCCCCTCTTTGGGCCCCTGACTTCGCACTCGTAAATGGAGGGGGCTGAGGGTGGTGACTCCTGTTGTGTGGGGTGCAGACCCCGCTGACAACCTGCCAAGAACACAAGGGAAGCAGGACTGGGTCCTCCTGTGTCACCTCAGTGCCCAGGGGTCAGGCCTTGTGACTAGTGGAGGCCGGGGAGCCCCTGGCCTTCAGCATCGGGGCCAAAGCCTGGGGATTCGCATTTTGAAACTCTTCCAGGTAATTCTCAAGCAGCCGGCCTGGCACGTGGGCCGCCTTCAAGGACCCGGCCTGCCCAGGAGGCAGGAGGTCTGGGCCTGCGCGATGGGTCTTAACTTCCGAGCTGCTCTGTGTCTCTGTCACCATCTGTGACAAAGGGATCCAGATGACAGATTCCTGGAAGGTCATCCAGCCCAACCTCTCCGCAGGGCTTGTATCACCTCGATGGCATCCCCTCACAGAGGGGACGTACACAGTCTATTTAAACACCTCCAGGGACTGGGAACTCACCACCTTGCCAGGTAGCCCAATCTATTGCAGAAAGTCCTTCCTTGGGTTGAGTTTCTAGCAGATAGGGGGTCAAGAAGTAATGTCGGGGCTACCCAGACCAAAGATGATGAGCCTCAAGAAAGGCTTTTGGATTTGTGCTTGTACTGGGTTATGACCTTCAAGAAAGAAAGTTGCGTTCAAGGCAGATGGGAGGTTGGGCGGGCAGAAGCCAAACTCAAGAGGCTGAGAGGGAGAGGGAGGTGGGAGGTGGAGGCATGAGTGTTGCAAATACTCTCAGCCGAAGGCAGGTCGGCTCCACAGGAGTCAGGGTGATGTGAGTGTGTTCACAGGCGGAGAAAGGGGGATGCGGGCAGGGAGGGCGCCTGCGAGGGTGCCGCTGTGGGGAACTGAGTGAAGAAGGCCCCAGGGTAGGGGCGAGGGGATGCAGAGCAGTGGGGGAGGAAGTGGGAAATTCAGGGAAGAGGGAGCCCCTTCTCCGTGGAGCTGGGGCGATGTGACCCTGGGAGGGAGGGGGAGAGAACGGTGAGGGCATAGGCAGTGCTGGTGGTCAGCCTCTGTAGGACTAGCGGCCAGCTGCTTAGAGAGAGGAGTGAGGTGGGCGTCTGGGGTTGCGAGAAGGAAGAAAGTCTGAAGCATCCTAGGCACCAACAATGAGAACTCACGTGGAGTGAAGGTTTTCAAAAAGGCAAATCAAATTCTGGGGCCCAACCGAGACTTCCTGAATCTAAGAGGAGACGGAGACGCCACCACCACAGTCCAGGCCTGAGAGTGGCGGGGACGAGGGCAGGCAGGACGGACTTGGAGGGGCGCAGAGGTCCTGGACATCTTCTGAGGAACGGTGGGCAAGAATGTGGGTGAGGAAAGGAGGGCTCAAGGACTGCCTCAGATACCCAGGTGGAGCTCTGGGGGGATGGGAATGCTGTTAACTGACGTGGCAATGAAGAGTGGACTTGTGGGAGGAGAGGAAAGGTTCCATTCAGGCCCCGTTGCTAGCCATCCAGTGACATGTCAAAGGGACAGTTTTACATGCGAGTTTGGAGTTCTAGACACCGGTCATGGCTGGAGGGATGGATTTAAGAGTCCAGGCACAGGGGTATTTGAAACTGTCAAGCTGAACCAAGGGGAAATGTAGACAAAGAAGCAACACAACAGCCCTGGCTCAGTTGGCTGGAGCATTGTCCTGTGCACGGAAAGGTCGCCGGTTGGATTCCCAGTCAGGGCACATGCCTGGGTTGCAGGCCGGGTACCCAGATGGGGGCGTACAAGAGGCAACCACACATTGATGTTTCTCTCCCTCTCTTTCTCCCTCCCTTCCTTTTTCTCTAAAAAATAAATAAATAAAATCCATTTTTTAAAAAATTGAGCTGAGAAGGAAGAAAGAGCAGATGGATCTGTGGGACCATTTTTTATGCCAAAGAAATACATTCTATTACGAGCCATAGATAGGCCTGTTGCCTTCATGTTTTTACGGCACGAAAGGAGTCTTTGGTGTTGCGAAGGGGATGTTTCCTTCCACCACTGCTGCTGCAAATCCTTCCCCCGTCGGGCAGCAAGTCCCCCCCAGAGAGGGCTCCGCGCTTCCACCGGGGCCCTGGCGACTCGGAGGCCCCACGCAGGCCGAGGGGCCGCTGAAGGACAGAGAGGGGACAGGGCCCACCGCTGCAGTCCTGGCTGTTTCTCCAGCTGGAGCCAGTCTCGCAGGGGCCCCCAGGGCGTGGGAAAGGCCCTTCCCTCCTCACACTCCCCGGCGAGGCACCCTGGGCCGGTTGGCTGTGCCCCCTCCCACGCCTTCTGCTCCCTAGATCCTGTTTTTTCTGGAAACAGATAGACTCCCCCAGGTAGTTTCTCCTCAGCACCGCGGGGTTTCGTAGGTCCTCCTGCAGCATTAAGAAGAGCTCACACGCGAATGCTGGGACTGACATTTGTGCGAAGCCTGGGGCTGGAGCCCTTCATTGCTGCTGTTCCCCGCCCCGCTTCAGTGTAGCTTCTGTAGCCCATTGGACAGGAGAGTGAGCTGGGGGTCCGAAGGTCGGCTTCCCCAAGGGCGCAGTACGGGTGCCGCCTGCACCTGGGTCTTCCGCCTCCAGGCCCCTGCCGCCTGGGTGTCTTCCCAGATGTGTTTGGCATAGAAATCAGTCAATATTTACAGAAATACATTTTTAGAGAATTTTGAGAGTCATTTGACCAAAAGTGTTTCCATGTGACACAAACCCTGACTGAGCTAGAAAGCCCTGCAGTCCCTTGGCCCACCACAGGGGTCTCCAGCCACCGCGGAATCAGCCGAATCTGGGGGGAGCCATGCTGGCCTGCCACAGCCACCGCCCCTCTCTGGGAGCTCTGTCTGGATTCCTAGACGCCGGGGACCCTGCAGCCACCCCCCCACCTCTCCTGCTACCCCAAGCTCCCCCCCGCCCCCCAAGCTCACTGCTTCTGTGGAAGGAGAAGCGGCTCCTGTTCACTGGTAGTGGAGGACTCCCACCTCCCAGCCGGCAGGGTGGGGAGCTGATGACTTGGGCGGAGCTTCCCACGCTCACTCGCAGATAAGGCCTTGGGGACCACCGCTACTCCCTCACCAAGTGCTTCTTAAGCCTGTGTAGTCGGCCGTTTGCTGGAGATGGCCGGCTGGGCTCACCTCCTGGCTCTGGTCGTATTTTCAGGGCTTGGTTGGCAGACACCAGACCAGGCAGGTGCAGTGCCCACATGTTCCACAGGGTGGCACACCAGTCACGGCGCGGTGCCTGAGGCCTAACTGTCCGAGGCTGGACTGACTCCTCCAGGCTTTTCCTTTCCCATGGACGCCCAGTTTTTCCCAATTTCTAATCACCTCCATCACTGCCGTGACAGGTTGGCGTGGTGGTGACGTACCTGGTGCTTCTTGCTTTCTCCTACAATGTCATCTTCCTGTTTGTGGGGACAGCCAGTCTGGGGCTGTTCCTTAGCAGCACCTTCCCCAGCATGCTCGCCTACACGGAGGACGCTCTGCAGTACAAAGGTGAGTGTGCAGGGGCGGGGGACCCCCTGGCTGGCGCCGCACCCCCTGCCCCCCTCCCTTCTGTGCTGCTGAAGCAGGAAGACCACTGCCCTGCGTCCTTACAGAAACGTGCCCCGGACGGGGGGGAAGGGGTCTGTAAACGGGGTTGTTCTAATCTTCAACGTCACGACCTGCGTACGTGACTTCAGGCTGCAGAGAAGCACTTAGTCTCCCTCTCCCCTCTGCTTTCTCCCGTAGAGGGCCTGCGGGCCCACCGCTGGCGCTTTGTGTGTCGTGCCCGGGCGCTCCAAGCGTTTCACGGGGAAGTTCAGGAAGGGGACTTTGTATAACACCTTCACAGTGATGGGGCCTCCGAGCTTTGCTGTTTGTGGCTGTCGTTTGAGCCGTACAGGGTTAGAAGGAGGCCACCACAGCTGACAATGGTCTGTGACATGGCTTCTTGTCTCAAATCTCTGTTCTCGTTCTGTAGCCTCCCAAGTGCACACAGCAAAAGTCTTTGGTAAAATGAGTTAATTAAAAATATTCCTGCTTTGAGCAGTTAACATTGCCCTTAGAAGTAACTAGCAATGCCCCAGAGTGCTGGACAGCTGGCACTGAGGAGGCAATGCTTTCCTTGGAGGAGGTGGGATTGTTGCAGGGGCAGCGGCCGCCGGAGCAGTGGGACCTGCACCCACCTTGGCTCCCCACAGCACCAAGACAGGAGACCTGGGTCCTTGAACTCCAAGGGTAACCCCCAAGCCGCAAGTGGGTAGATGAAACAATGCTGATGTCATCTGTCACACACTGTATTCCACAGGCTCTGAGCTACAGCAAATGTTAAGCAGTAGTCACAGCAATGATGCTGGTTGGTTCCGCCTGTGCGTGGTCACCAGACCATCCTCTTTTCACATCTCCCCTCCCAGCCTTAGTTCAGGCTTCTGTCCTCACCCACCTGCTTGGACTACGTAACAGCACCCAGCTTTTCCTGCTGTCCCATCACCTGCACTGCTGCTGTGGCAGGTCGTGGCTTGTCCCTTTGCCTTCACACTTGCATCAGCCAGAGGTTCTCAGTGCTGGTTCCACGTTAGCGTCACCTGGAGCACTTGTTACAAAACCCAGCACCTGGGCTGCACCTCCACAAAGTCTGATGCAATTGGCCCTGAGCCACTGGGAGATTCCAACGTGGAGCCGGGGTGAGGCCCTGGCGCTGCTGCGGAGGGAAGGCCGGAACACAGAGCGGATTCCGGCCTTCACGCCTTCCTGGGAGCTCCTTTCCTCCCCCTCCGAGCCCGTGTTCTAGCCAGCAGCTCCCCGGTGGTGCACAGCCGTCCTGCCCCTCCACGCTCGGCACCTGATGAACCCTCTACCCCACTCCTCCTCTTCTGCCTCTCGGGGAAGCTTCTCTGACCTGCACTGGAAAGATCCCCTCCTGTGTACCTGCTTCTCGTGTTTGACCCCTTTGAGGCTTTTGTGCCTGGTCATCTGCATCCTCTCCTTGACAAGGCAGTCCCTGTGGGCACCAGCAAGGCACAAGGACAAGAGTGAGGGCTTTAAGGTCATCAGCAGACCCAAGTCAGTCCTGCCTTCCCTCTCCCTGGCTTTGTGGCCTTGGATGATTTGATTTCTTTCCCCTCGCTGAGTCAGTGCGCGGAATGTACTGGCAGGTTTTTGAGCGGATGAGTGAAATAGACAGTGGGTACCACTGGAATTCAGACCAGGGAGGGACCAATGTTAAATCTCGAGGTAGCTTCATTGAAGAGATGGGATGTGAGCTGGCCCAAAATTTGGAAAGACAGGAGAAAGGAAAGGCACTCAGGGAAGGGTGGGGTGGGGGCAGGGCCAGTGGCCAGTGTGGGAGCAAAGGAACAGAGACAGGTAATAACATAAACGAGAGACTAAAAGAGGAACGTGAAGCCCAGAATAAAAACGCTCGGTGTCTACCATACACTGGCCACGGTGCTGGTAATAGGCAGTGATGTGTCACAGAACTAAAATGCAAGGCACCATCCTCTCTCAGGGACCTAAAGCCTGCACAGACAGTGGGGTGCATGAGCATAGGGTGAGGGGGCTGCAGGAGCACAGGGAGCAGCTGACCCAGGTCTGGGGACAGGGCGAGGGGAGAAGACTGCAGAAGGAAATCTCAGCTAGGACTGGACGCTGAGCAGGAGCTCAGGGACGAAGAGGAGCAGCAGCACAGGTCTGGACCTGGCTGCGGGCGTGTGGGAAACTGAAGCTTCCTCCTGGCCAGAGGGCAGCCTGGGAACAGGTGGTGGGAGAGGTGCGTCTGCGCTCTCCACAGGGACAGATTATAAAGGGTCCTGGAGACCACGTTAAGGCGCCTGGACTCTGTCCTGAAGGCAGCATGGGAGGGTGGAAGCCAGACCTGGCCTGGTTTCAAGGGCTTGCTGTGTGTCAGGACTTTGCTGAGTGAGCACCTCCACGCACTGCACCAGAGTGAGCCGCACGGCAGCCCTGCGCAAGCTGCGCTGTGGTGCCCACTTTACAGAAGGAAACCAAGGCCTACAGAAGGGAGAGGACTCGCCTGAGGTTGCTCAGCTAGCATGTGGCACAGCTGGGCCCGACGCCCGGGTTTGCCTCTGAAGTTTGGGCCCTGGCAGTCTGGCCATGTCGCCAGGTGGATGAGAGGTGCGGCTGGCCAGTGTGGTGCCAGGCACCGAGGACACTGTTCTGACCGGTGGAGGGCTGTCCTGCAGAGATCAGGAGATCTTTCTGGAAAAGCTGGTGGGGGTCACATTGGGAGGGACCCTGAACGCCAGGCTAAACAGCTTGGAATTCACTGGGAGGAAAATTGTGAGTGATTGAAGGTCTCAGAACAAGGAAGGGACATAATGACAGCGGGACCTACGCATTCCCAAGCCAATTAAGAGCTGAAGTTTGAGAAATGTTAGGAGTCCCAAGGAGTCCTCTTAGGCAGCCATGCTACTTTCCACAGGCTTCCCAGAAATAACCTGGATTACACCGGCTGACTTCTGTCCCCCGACTTGTTCCCTACTAAACCAAATCCTTCTTTTCTGTGTAGGCTGTGCCACCACAGTGCTGGTGACAGGGGCGGGAATTGGCGAGATGGCCCTCCAGATGCTGGTTGGTTGGGTATGTGGGGAACTCTGGGGGGAGGGAGAGCATTTGGGGAGCACCCCTCCAAGCAGATGGGAAAGTGCGGCCAGTGTCTCCTGAACCCAAGCGAGCGGGACCCACTCTGTTATCTGTTTCCGCTTCTGAGCCAGCCCTGAAAGCTGAGCCCCAAACAGGGGACCGGAGCTGGGAAGGACTGCAGCATCCAAAGCAAACATGGGTCATGTCTGGGAGCAGGGCCAGAGGGGCCCGTGGGAATGTTGTGTAGCTCCCAGGCCTGGGATGGACTGAGCCGCAGAGGCCTTTATCCGTCCCTTCCCTGCCTGCCGCCCCCTCAGCCCACCTCTCGTGGCCTTTGCTGAGCCACCCTGCAAAGGGCCCAGCTCCACGGCCCAGCTCCTGCCCTGACCCCAGACCGACTCTCCCCATTCTTGTTACACACACCGCAGTTTATGTGTTCCATAGGAAAAAATAAGTCTACTTTCTACTGAAGACTATAACGTAGACATTGTCATTCCCCTTTCACAGAGGAGGACACTGAAACTCAGATAAATTAAGCAGTTTGCCCTCAGTCATCCCACTTCTAATAACTGTCAGTGATAACATCCAAACCCAGCTCTTTCGGATTCCCAAATCCCCCTCCTCCCTGTGCTCCTCTCTGCTGCCTCTGCCCCACTGGGTGGGGAGAGCTCCGTCCCCGGCGCCCTCTGCCTGGAAGCGTCTCGAGGGCCGGGCAGGGCTTCACTGTGGTCTCGTGGGGGCAGCAGAGCAAGCTGGTGCTCGCTGCTGAAGTTGGCGACGGGTCCACGGGATTCCATGTGCTACTCGGGCATATGTTTAAAATTCTCTGTAACAGGAGGATATCTATAATCTCCCCAGCAAAATTCTGGTCAGGCCTGGTGGGTAGAGAAACACCTAGTACGATTGGGGTTTTAAGGAAGATGGGGAGGTTTTTCAGAAGGTTCCAGACAGAGAGCTGAAAGGGGACAGCAGGCAGGGCTCACCCGGTCCAACCCTCACAGTAGAACAGGTTTCTGTCTTCTCCAGAAACGTGACCTTGAAACAAGGCCAAGGCGTCCCCGCTACCCATGGCTCTATCTTTGGTGTAACAGACCCCAACTTGACTAGAAAACCTGCCAAGGGCCCGAGAAGGCCGCTTCCTCCAGTGTATCTCCGTGGGAGGTTTCGATGGCCTGTGTGTCTGTTTTCCCCTTTGGCAGGTGTTCCAGGCTCAGGGCAGCTACAGTTTCCTGGTCTGTGGCGTGATCTTTGGCTGCTTGGCTTTTGCCTTCTACATCTTGCTGCTGTTTTTCCACAGGATGCACCCTGGCCTCTCATCAGGTAAGGAAAGAATCTGTTTCTCCAGAAGAGGAGGAAAACAGAGCGGGGCGGGGGCGAGGGAGGACCTGTGGGAGACACTGGACCTTAGCACACCAGCACTGCTGTTCTGTTTCAAGTAACATGCGAGGAAGTGTTTATTTTTCCACAGCTTCCTTTCCCCTCTTCCTGCCTTGCCATGCAATTGTCCACACCGCGCTCTTAGGGCAGCAGCAGCGGCGGGGGCAGGCTGACTCATGGTTTCTCTAGGAGAGGGGCAAGGATATGAACTTGGCTTCCTGCTCCCCACCGTGCCACAGGACCATGGGCCAAGGCTCTTTCCAGCCTGTGCCGGGCACTGAAAGGCAGAGCCTGCCTCCTTGGCTGGAATTCAGCCCAGCAGCCCGATTGGCTGTATCTTTGCAGTTTAGGAGTTTGACTCTGGTTCACACTTTTTTTTTTTTTTTTCCAAAAAGAAGTCCCTCAGGCCAAGTGGCAAAAAAAAAGCACTTTCAGGGCAGATACACCACCTCAGAAGAGTCTCACTCCCGGACCCCAGGCAGGGGGGTCCCAAAGCTGTTTGCATGACCCTGAGCACGCCGCGGCCTTTCTGCCCAGAGCTCTCAAAGTCCCCACAACTGTTTCAGCAGGCATGTAGCCACTTCTTAAGAGGGGGTACCCAGTCAGAGCCCTGACTGCCCCCCACAGGAAGCCAAGACTGAAGGAACAAGCAGCCAGAGGCCTCTCTCAGCAGGCAGACACATGCGCCCTTTAAACAATCACTTTAAAAGCCCTGAGAACAAGGACCCCCCACGCAGCTCTAACTACGGTCTTGCTTCTGACGTGGCAGGTGCCCGTCGCCATCCAGCCCCCCACTCAGGACAGAGTGTTCGTTTAGGCCACACTTTCGGGAAGTACTGGCTGCGCCTTGACTAGGGTGGCGCAGTGGGCTGGGGGCATGCAAGAGGCAGCCGGTCAAAGCTCTGGAACAGCACTGTTTCTCTCCCTCTCCTTTTTCCTCCCCCCCCCACTCTTTCTAAACATAAATAAAATCTTTAAAAAAGTAGTATTGAATATTTGCTAAATGTCAACTAACACTTAATAAACCCCCCAGTCGAGGAAAACAGAAGGAAATACATATTCTCCAAGCTCGAGACACTGGTCTCAACAAACTGCTCCCACCAACATTTTGCCAGAACTCGCAGGTCTGACTTTCCACTCGGCTCCCCAAGGAGCCGCCGGCAGCAGAGAAACAGAAGGGCCGGGTGAGCTCTCGGGATGAGTAATCGCTGCCGCGGCATCAGGGCTGCGGAAACGTGCTGCCCGGTCGGTTGGTTTGTCTGTCTGTTTCTGTTACAGTTCTCACCCAGGACAAAGCACTTGGAATGGAAAGCTCAGAGTGCTACCAGAGGTAAAAGTGGGTGAAGGAGGCAGGCGAAGGCATCTGGCTCCTGGAGCACCAGCAGAGACCGAAGTGCGAGGGATGCTGGGCCAGCAGCGGAGCAGCGTCCGACGCCTGGGCCGGGACTTCTCCACAATGAGTGCTCGCAGAGAAGAAATTAAACTGGGTTCTGGCCCCTGGGTCCTCCCTGGGCAAATCATTAGAGGTTTACCTGGCTACTCAAGTTCCTTTCCTCTTCCCTGGTTCTGACTTGTGGTCAGAGCTGTTTGCCCGGGAAGGAGGCAGAGAGTCACCTGCTCCACTCCACTGGCTGTCTCCTGTATGGACCACACTCTGCGTCTGAAGGTCACTCTTAGTTGAATTTGAAAATATAGGTTGAAATTATAAAGCTCGGTGATCATTGCTGTATGTAGATGCATTTTAATTGAAACAAATCCATGGCATGCTCACAGGGTTTATGTGCTTTGTATTTATTAATAGTCCAAAGTCCCTCAAATTCCTGCTGCTGACATCAGTAGTTTGTCCACAGTCTAAAAAGCAAAAGGAAAAGTTGAATCTTGCTGTCTTTGGGACACGAATTCAGTGATATGCTGGGCTAGCCCCCACCAGCTTATAAAAGCTGATTGTTAAACTTTTAAGAGCTATTTGTTAAATACAGCCATTATTTAAATTAAATTATAGAAACTTAAAATACATGAAAAACAAAGGGAACGGCTACTCAAAACTCATCACTTCCTAATCCTTCTATGCCTGTGTTCTTGAAGTGCTGTATGATGTTGTCTCCGTGTGGCGGACACGCGATGGGAAGGAGCGCTGCTGGGCATCTTTCGGGCTCCACTCTCAGTGGCAAGGTGTTGGTGGCTTGAGATCAGCCATGCTGGGAGTGTTTGCACCACGGCAATTGGCAAAAGCTACAAATCCTGGCTAGTCTCACCCGGAGAGCCAAGTGTTAAACATTTGCCAGCATGCCACTGCTAGTAATCAGTGCTGACTGGCCCAAAAGTTGCCTGGAAGACTGAGATGGATGTTCTGTTTTTCTTTACTGACATTGACTAGCTTATAGAAGGTGTAGAAACAGCACTAGGGATTTCTCAAAAATATCTAATTTGAACTTACATCTTCTATAGAGAAAAACAACTCTTCACTGGCATACCTCAGGGATATTGCGGGTTCCATTCCAGACCATCACAACAAAGCGAGTATCGCAATAAAATGAGTTGTCATCTTTTTGCTTTCAATTTGTAAAAAATGCAACATCTGTGAAATGCAATAAAGCGGGTCACAATGAAACGAGGTATGCCTGTGTACCATGTCAAGTTCTTTAACAAAAACAGGATTTTGGAACAATTCGAGCTGTGTAGTATACAGAAAGCTACGCCTGTCTGTCAAGCAAATCCTGTGGTAACGCAGAGAAGGCAAACTCAGTGACTTGGAGAGGGACAGCGATTGTGTTGAGTTGTGAAGTGGCTGTTACAGGGACTGCGTGCTAGTTCGTCTGCACTTGTGTATATACAAATGTTCATGTATAAAACAAGTGGATCGTGACTCTCAGTAACCAGTCCAAGTGCTGTGGTTCACGTGCCCAACATTAGAAGTTTATCTGGGAACTGTGGGCACTGTCCCGTAAGCCAGCTCTGCCTGCCAGCAGCATGGTGCAGCGGTGAGAGCCCGGCCGTCCAGAGACCGGTTCAAGAGCTGGTCTCAGCGTCTGTCCCTGTGGCAGAGAGGTCGCTGAGGCCCTTCCAGCTTTGCTTGTTTTAAAAATCTCTAAAGTGACACTTCTAAAAGAATCTTACCCTACCTCAAAGGAATTCTAAAAGAATTAAGTGAATTTGTATAAATCAATTCTTATATGCCTGACATAGAAATTGCTTCATAAATGTTGGCAATTTTTATTTTTAAAACCTATAAGCAGTTTAGAAATCATTCATGTGTTTGTTACATATTTACTGTTAGCCAAACAGGTCCCGACTCTTTTGAAAGCCGGTGGCCCAGGGCTCCGGTGTGAACTGTGTCTGTAAACACAGGGAGGCATTAGGTGCCTGCAGACTCAAACGTGCAGCCAGCTGCAGTGAGGGGCTGACCTGGGCGAAAAGGAAACAGTTGGATTTTTCTCATGGGTTTTCAAGAAAGCATCCCTTTTATACAGATTTAGAAAGAGTTGTCAATGGCTGTATCTAAGGTGATCAGTATTAATTTGCGAATATAGAAAATAAAACTGAAAACAAATTTAAGACTGCCTTTTCTAAAATAAAATGCTTTAAATTGAGTGTGTTATCTGTTACCAAGGACGGTCGATCCTTATTTGCAGAAGCCCAGAAACAAATGACCAAATGTTCCCTGAAGACAGGTCTCACTCATACTGTGGGTTCACCTGGTCGATACTGTAGAGGAAATGAAACCGTCATGTGAAGAACCGAGAACCACCACCCTCTCTCACGTATCATCGGAATCAGGACAGGCAGGCGGGTTTTCACGCCACACTGCAAACGCAGTCACAGGGCAAGCAGGGCTTTCTTCGCATCTTCTTGGTGAGAGTTGGGATGTTCCAGGGTGCTGTGCGGTTGCCCTCTTTCCAGACCCCCCTCTGCACTTAGGTGTGGGATCCAGCCCATCAGTACACCAGACTCCCTGGTGGAAGGCACGGTGACACAGACGTTTGGGAGAATCCATGCACTCACTCAAAACCATGTGTTTCGCACCTGCTGTCCTCGAGGCACTCATCTACATGTAGAGATAGAGCAGGAAATGACCAGGGAGTCCCTGCCTCACAGACTGTACTGCAGCTGAAGACAGAGACAGCATGCCACAGGATGAGGGATGATTCAGTGCCATAAAAATAAAGCAGGGGAGGTGGAAGAGGGAGTGTCAAGAGATGCTTCGGAAGGCCTTTCTAAGGAGGTACCATTTGTGCAGAAACCTGAATGACATGCAGGAGTGAGCCATCCAAGTACCCGGGAAAGATCGCATCCAGCGGGACACAGCAAGTGCAAGGGCCTTAGACTCAGCATGCTTGCACTTGAGGACCAACCAGCAAGCAGGCCAGTGTGCATCAGTGCAGTGGGGGAGGGGAAGAACAGCAGGCAATAGGTTGAAGGGGAAGGTAAGGGCCAGATCATATCAGCCACGTTAGGAATATGGATTTTTTTCCTTTTAGTTACAGGAGATTATTAGGGGAGTTGTGAGCAGGCATGGGGCAGGGATGAACTAGTGGGCACAGGCCAAGTTACAATGGCAATAAACTACACAGGAGATGGTGGCTTGGACAGTGTGGGTTAGAGCTCTGTTCTGAAAGTCAAACTGACAATCTACTAAATTGTGTGTGTGTGTGTGTGTGTGTGTGTGAGAGAGAGAGAGAGAGAGAGAGAGAGAGAGAGAGAGAGAGAGAGAGAGAGATGGGACTCAGGGCCGACCCTAAGGCACTGGGTTCTGGGTATGTGAGGAAGCCACTCAACACTGGAAGACAATGGGCTACAGAGTTCTGGTTTGGAAGTGTCAAAGGCTGGGAGATAGTCTAGAGGTTAAAAGAAACTCAAGCCTGGAGATGTACATTTCATGGCCACACAGAGTGTGTAGGGGGTGGGGCTGAGTCAGACCACCTAGGGAGTCAACGTAGAGATTGGAAGATTGAGCCCTGAGGTTCTTCAGCACCTAGAGGTTTGAGACCAGGATAGAATCCAGAAGAGAAAAAGGAGAGAAGTACCAGACGTTCAGGGGAGAATGTGGGTTCCTGAAGGAATGTGGGTTCCCTGTGGGAAGAGCTGCTCGGGAGAAAGTACTCAGTGCTCCCACCAGGTCCACCGAGGACTAAATATCCCCAGTGGTTGTGGCAACACGGAGAAGGACCTTGACTGGAGAGGGGGTTCTGTCCGCAGCCATGTGTTCACAATACGTGGAAATCATGAAGCCCACTCTGAGGTTCCGGCAACCTCCTGGCACTGATGCTTCCCACCTATTAGAACCTCTCTTTGCTGGTTGACTTTTCATCACACTCTGTCCTCTTATTTGGATGGTGTTGGGGAAAGGTTACTTCAAAGAAAGTCACCTCTGTGGACTCCCGATTACAAGGCATATTCCAGTAAGTGTCGTGCTTTGCAGAGAGAATCCACGTGAAATCTTGTGTTAATGATTGTCTCCTACCTGATTGTGCCAACCCTGGAAAATTACCCAACAAAACACAAAAAGTGGTTGCAAAACAGATATTACGCCTCTCAAAAGGGGATGTGTCAACAGTCAGAAACCTTAGAAAATGGTGCATAAATAGGGTTTTTTTAACTGAAGGGCTTCTTAGAGCTTTTAATATCCTAATACGCTTTCTGGATCGCAAGAGGTGACGCCCCGCTTCCCACACTTATTCGGCCTCCTGCAAGCACCAACGCAGGTCAGGCGTCTTGAGAGCAGCGGTTCGGAGGAATCGGCAGTGCTCAGAAGCCATCACCCGGCTGCGCTGCACACTGCTCAGTGACCTGCACGGAAGCGACACCTCTGCAGGGTCAGTCAGCGGCTGTCCCCGTTTACTCATGTGCTACTCCGTCCTGTCATTTCTACCCGGAGACAGGAAACAGACCTCTCCAGTGAGATTTTGCCACCTATTACCCCTACTCCTGCCCCTGAACCCAGTTCTGAAAAAGCCTAATTTCATTTGCTAAATGAACTGAAATCTCCAGTGTTTTTTTTCTTTGTGTGGTGCTTTGTTTTGTTTTAAAGGGAGAGAGGGGATGGGAGGGAGAGAAACATCGATCGGTTGTCTCTCCTATGCCCCCGACCAGGGAACCGAACCAGCAACCTCTCGCTTGGCAGGACAACGCCCAACCAAGTGGGCCACACTGGTCAGGGGCTGAAAGCTCCAGTTTTTAATATCAAAAACTACAGCAAGCCCTGGCTGGTGTAGCTCAGTGGATTGAGCGCGGGCCTGCGAACCAGACGATCGCAGTTTGATTCCCAGTCAGGGCACATGCCTGGGTTGCAGGCCAGTTCCCTGCAGGGGACCCAGGAGGGGCACCCATACACTGATGTTTCTCTCCCTCTCTCCTTCCCTTCCCCTGTAAGGATAAATAAATAAAATCTTAAAAAAAAAAAAACTACACCCCCCAAAAAAACAGGGCCTAGAGCAGAAATAAGCCAAAGTTGCTTCTTACAACAGAATAAAAGCAACTAATTAAAAAACTTTTTAACTTTTTAAAAATGTTTTATTTAAAATTTAAAAGTCAAATGAAGAGATTTCACATGGTGAATAATCTTTCTAGCCCGTCAATTCTCTTTCAATCCCCTTTCCTATCAGCAATCATTTTACAGTCTCCCCTGTTCACTACTTATCCCAACTCGAGTTTTAAGTATTTTAACACATCACATAGTTAAAGGCCGGGTTTCAATGATCACCACTGGGCAATGGAACCCCTTCTTTACCCACATTCGAATGGATGGTAATACACACAGGGACCACCCAAAAGATGGAGGGAAACAAAGAATCCATTCAGAAAGTCATTTTGTTAAAAATATTTATTTAAAAAAATACAGTTGTCCATATCTAGTTGCACGTATATCTATTAACATACCTATATAATTTTGGACTTTAATAAATTTTCTACAATGCTTTCTTAAAGCTAGCTAGCCATTATACAAAGCAAATTCCTGTCAGTTCTTACATAAAATATTTTTAATGTATCATCTTTCTAATAAGATGCATATCACCATTTCAGAATTTTTAAAAAATCTTTGCATAAAATTCAAAGCAATAGAAAAAAAAACAAGGATCACCTGATTAGTTATTCAGAGCAACCGTTACCACGTCGGAAGGAACACTTTTTGTCTTTGACAAGCAGCACCTTATAAAGCCCTCGCGGTGCTGGCACACCAGCCCCTTCACCCACCTAAACCTGGGGCAAAGTTTCTTGTCGCCGATGAACAGAACGCAGGACCCTGGCCACAGGCACCCTCGTCAACTCTGAAACAACACCCCTTTGTTTCCCCGCAGGCTGGTGAGGCCAGACTGCCTGGCCGGAAGAGATGGGCAGCCTCTCTCAGTTACAACAAAATTAATGCAATTTTAATACATGTTAGCAGTTACCATCTTTTTAATTGCTTTTTTGGAAAAAAAGAAAAAAAGTGATTTTTAAACCTTTGAAAGTCTCCCTGATGTAAATGACAATGAAATGAAGACAAGTTACTCTAACAGTAACTTTAACAGTTGTTCTTCCCTTTGGGTAGGTATGCACTTGCATTTGATATATAAGCATTCTGTTTATACAAAAGTGATGGGTAAGGGGTATTATGAGACAGATTTCAATAAAATACACAAGAAGGGAAATAAAAAATGAACTGTCTTCCCAGCGGAAAGACCTGGGTTTAAGAAAAGCGCCCTGGCAAGTCCCTGCCACCACGCGGCCCAACGCCGAGACCCCGACCTGAAAGAGGCACCTCTTCTGTGCGGGCTCCGCACAGACCCTCCCTCCGAGTTACAGACTGGGTGGATAAGATAACGAGTTTATTATTAAAAGAGAGCTTTTAATTTTCAAGTAATGTCCACACCTGAAGGTCCAGTAGGACTCATAAAAAAATTGTTTGTTATACACTTTTTACTTTTAGCCAACTTGATTATTTGGTGAATAAAGGGCACAATTTTAAAAAGCTAATTTTAGTAAAAAATTTTATTGCCTCAAACCAAAGCTAAGCAGTAGCAAAATGACTGGACTTACATGTGAACAAAGGTTAACTACACTGCCAGAAGGCAAAGAAAAGAGACAGGACTGCAGTTAGAGAAGGCTGGACGGCCAAACTGGACAAACTGGCCTTAAGTAATCAAAAACTAATTGTCCTGATTTCTGTCTTTACTTATATGCATCTTAATTTCACTGACGCTGAGCAGGGAAGTTCATCAAACTTGCTACTTTATCGCAAAAGCAATGACTGTTATGTACATATAAAGGCCACTGGGACCACTGCCCCAACAAAAAAATATGAAATGTCTGAAAAGGAACTCTGTCCCCTACATAACATACACAAACAACAATGATTAAACAGAAAAGAAACTTAAAATTGAACAGTTTACGAAGTTGGCTACAATACATCAATTGTAGATCATTAAAAGTCACACATTTCTGCAAAGCGAAATATTAACGCTTGTTAATTATTCTGAAACATCCTAGTCAAAGGGCATAGTAGAGAACCAGAAGAAAGGCTGCTTGGGTAATCCGCTCATCTCCTCTTCAAACAGTCTTAAGTTCCAGAAAACATAAGTGAGAAATAAACCCTACTTCCCTGACCCTCAAAGCTGAAAGTAAACTAACAAAATAATCATTAAGTGCTTCCAGTTATTAAAAATAAAACAGTGCTAATAATGGTGTCCCCCAAAGTGCCAACTGATTTAATACCAATAGATGGCATTCTCGCCCCTGAACTCTAGGCGTACTTGAATGTTTTCTATGGCGAGAACTCCGGCCCAGCCACAGGGCGCCGCCACCCCCACCCACGTCCAGAAGATCCCAGGCCTGTCCGAGCAGGGCTCAGAACCCTTAGAAGGGACAAGACCCAGAGTGGGCCCTGATGGGATGGAAAGCAAGGGAAAGTGGACAGTATTCGGCCCACGATGCTCTGAGGTTCCTGCTGATACTTATGCCAGTTCACGAGGATGACCGGGCTGCAATGCCAGAATCCCTTCACTATCGGATCAGTCCACGGTTGGATCGGTATTTCAGAAACACTACTTCTCACATCAACCTCTCCTTTGAGAAACTCAGAACCCAACATAATATGGGTTCTACACAAAAGCAAAAGTAAATGAAGAAACTCTAAGAAGGGACATCCTCATTTGCCCCGTAAGACATGAACTAGGAGCTGAAGATGACCTGTTCGGCAGCCATCAGACCTGGCGCCAAGTTACTAAAGGCTGGCAAGCAAATGGTCTTTAAGGCCTATGAGTCTATGCATTTAAAAAAACTGAAATGTGCAAGGCATTAATTTTTTAAAAGTGGCAATTGCAAAGTGCGCCAATTTTTTTTAAGTTTTAGTACAAAATAGCCTAGGAGCCATCCTAGAGGATAAACAGTATGTTCCCTCTGAAAAACAGATTTATTTTATACACACACACACACACTCAGCCAATACATCAGTATATAAACACATATATGTACTCAGCCCATAAGTCAAAATATTTGGAAAGAAATGCTCTAGTCTCCTAATTAGGTATTTAAAACTAAAATTTTAAACCTCACAAAACTTCCTGCTGTATATTATACTCAAAAGATTAGAGAGTTCAAGAGATTTACAATGTTTGATTGTATCCCTCATGAATTTCCTGGTTCAAGGTTTCATTGTAGATGATGTTAGCGGCAGCCGGAACCTCCTGGTTTCCACGGAAAGCTGAAGCCGACCTTTCCCTCGACTCGAACCACTCTGGATCCCCGTCTCCCACAACGGCCCGGTGTGAACGACAGCACCCTAGAAATTGCCATTTTCTGGCTGGCTGTCAACCTATTGCTTTTTTTTTTCTTCTTCAGAAAAGCGGCTTGAAGAAACTGGCAGCTTCGAATGGAACATTTATACTACATCAACAACTCACCCTTCAGATCTGCTCTGTTCACAGGTCAAAACATGACTTTTATACTAACAGGTTCCATCAAGTATGAGAAATGAAATCAAACCGCCTTCTCTTCTTGCTTAATACACTACCACCCACAAGATCTCTAGATTCGAAGACTAAAACACTGACTTCTGATGACCTGAGAGCAGTAACAGAGCACCTGGTTTCAGGCTATGCCAGCAGCACTGAGAACGGCAAGAAAACACTGACTTGCTGACCCAAAAGCAGGACGGTAATGAACGCAACACCTTCCACAGCAACCATTCTCCAGTCAGAGCGCCTGCTGAAGAGGTGCGCCTCTGGTTTTCCTCCACTTCACTACTGCGGATTAAACAATTACCTTCTCAGTTCCTTTTCGGAAATAATCTACTCTGTCGCACCTCAGGTAACGGACTGTAACACCATGAGTCTTTCTCAGTTTCCCGTTGGGTCGGTAATTCTTCCGAGCTCCAGGGTTCTGCTCAGAGCCCCGCATCTGCCCCCACGCCAGTTCACACACCTGAGAACGGCCCCTGAGCACGGTTCTAGATGTCTGGCAGGGATAAATAAGACTCACATGGTGAGTGGAGGGGTACACAGAGTGGGCCTGCCAAGGAAAGTATTTCATCTTCAGATGCTGAAACGTTACCCAAAAACCTTACTAACACAGCAGTAAAACAGAGATTATTATGTATTTTAACATACAGCAATTTGAAATAATTCTCACTTTATTAGTAAAATGTAACACTAATAAGACCGAAAGAGGTTTGTAAGCAGACTAGTAAAATAAAAGTGCATCAGAGTCGAACCTGGTATGAAGAGAAAGGCAACGACAGGCCGCCCAAAGCAGTGTGCGCGAGGCCCTGGAAAGCACTTGGCAATGGGCTACTCGGTGACTTAAGAAAAAGAATTAGCATGAATTTTCCCCTGAAAAATCCCAAATCTCTACTAGAGATTTTACATGACAATCAGATCAAATACAGAAGGATTTCTTCGTACGTCAGGACAAGAGCATCCATGCCTTTTCCCGCAGGTCAGACAACGTTCTGAGTCGGTGTTGTTACAGAAAGCGTGTTGCCAGCCCGCTGGGTGCAGGAAGAAACATCAGAACTCCTACTTGACACTTATTTTCTAGCCATCCTATCTCTGTTTTTGTGTGTGTCCTAGAATGTGCATATTACTTTAGAAGAGCAGTATACAACTTAACATATATACATGTGAATTTGCACTAGGATATCTGTGTTCAAAAGCTCGTACTGATCAAGGTGCATGTGCAAAAAGGGTGGAGACTGATTTTCTGAAGTGACAGTGAGGGTCTCTGATGTGCTTAAAGTCACTAGAAACACAGAAAACTGCCTCTAGAACTAGAATCCTAACACGAACTGTGATCAGGATGAAACAGCACCATTCAACTGGACATCATGCAGGGCCAGAGGTGGGTGGTGTGGCGGCTGAGCTGCCAGCAGCCTGCGGTCCCAGCTCCTGAACCAAGCCTCTGACTTGCTCTCCCTTCTCCGCCTAAGGGACTCACAGCTCGGAGAAAACTAGAAAGTGTGCCAGGTAAACAGATCCAACACGTCAGCCCTGCCTTTCTGACCTTGAAAATAGTATGTAAATCTTCAAGGAATTCTTTCAGCTTAAATTTAAAAACTCCAGTACCCTTTTATTACATAGGCTCATGGCCATCAAAACTTGAAGACAAAAAAGTCACGCCTATCTTTTAGCCATAAAATGTAGAAAAATTAAGCCTATATTTTAACTCTTAAGAAGTGTAAGGCTGACCTTTTCAGGGCTTCTGGATTTTTCCATTACATACAAATTTTTAAAAATCAGCAGCTGTTCCCATCTTTCTTTGAACACACAAAATACACCAGGAGTCTGACGTCACAAAAGCACTGTGACAGACATGGAATAGAGACCACTGAGGTCAGACATGTGACTTCAATTCTGTATTTTTAAAAGTCAGCATTGAAAAAAAGATGCTTTAGAAGTTACATGAAACCCACCCCGGGTGGAGCAAATGCAGTGGCTGCTGGCTGAGCAGGCGGCTGTGCTCATCCCTTCGCGGTGCCAAGGTGGTAGCTTCGGCCAGATGGGGAGTAATTTGCACCTTGGAAATCAGCAAATGCTACAATGTAAGGCTCTCTTTCCCTTCCAAGAGCCTGGCAGTTAAACATTTCCCAGCATACCACTGAGTAGATCTGGACCAGTGCAGAGGGAAAGCTGAGATAATCATGGCAGATGCCTTGAAAACTCACTCCACCTGCTCCCCTGTTACCTTAGACCACTTTTGCCCACCAGCACTCATCCTGGCAGCATTCATCCTGGCAAGGCGGCCGGCGATGGCCTCAGCTACAGCTACCAAGTATGTCTCTCCAGTGAATACTGATGTTAAGTGGTATGTCACCTCTGGGTTCTAAGAACTCTGTGGATTTTCAAAATATATAAAGCTGATACTGTTCCAGGAAGGAGGTAGTTTACACGTAGAATGGCCTGCCTCATACACTTGAGCTAAGGTTGTAAACTTCCATTTAAAAAAGACACACACATGTGCACGCACAAATGCTTCCCCAGATTAACTAATTTCAAAGAGAAAGCAGGCGACCATCGGCCTCCTGTGGCCCACGCCTCTCAGAGGCTCCAGAACAGGCTCGCAGACGGAGGACTCACTGAAACTCGTCCGCAGGAAGCCACTGTGACTCACTTTCAACAGTGTCCTCACTGCCCAGAGGCAGTTAGATGTGAAAGGCAACACCTGGGAAACCAGACCAATGGCTTTTCTCCTTTAATACCAAAAGATAAAAATTTTTTTTGTGCTTTCAAAATGTTAAATATCTAGTTAAGTCAATCCATCAATACTTACTTATTTAATGTACAAAACGTTAATCAACCTAATATTGATGAAACTATTCCAAAGTGCTGCTGAGAGGTCCAATTTCAAACAGGCATGTGCGCTGCAAGATTCAACACGGGGAGAAGTCCAGTAAGTCTGTCCCGCGTCACCACTAACAGGACCGCCTTTCCACACGACTACTGCACGTCTCTGGAACAGGCCCGTCAGCCAAGGACCACAGACGGAGCAGCACGGGTCTCCCACGCTCCAGAGTCAAAGGCAGCTCCCTGAACACTGTCCCGCTGCTGTCGCTGAACCAGCAGGGGAGTCGTGCCCGGGAGCTCCTCCACCCTGCACCTAACCTCATTCACAGTGTTACCCATCTGGAAGATGCCGATTCCTTTCAGTGTCACTTGAGCTCTCGTCATTGCTCCCTCGTTCATTTAGTTCATGTGATCGGATCACAGGAACTATCTCCAGGGTTGTAAAAGTAGTTTAATGGGCAGCGGTGGTGGGGGTAGGAGCCGTATATAATATCTAATACTGGACTTTAAAGTCAGGACTTTCAAGATTCCACTGACATGCTGGTATCAATTCCGTTTGGCGGGATCGACAAAGCTGTCTGCACCTGGCATTAGTTACCATAAGGTAATACTTTATAAATTGGGTAATGTAGAGACAAAGGCCTAAATTTTTCTCTACTAATATGAGCAATCTAATGCCTATGTAGGAGGGTTTCCAAATGAACTCTGCTCCTCCCTAATCTAAAAAGAAAGTTTCAAAGAAGTAAGCATATCTTTTCCTCACTACAGATTTGGAAGCCTCATATTGCTTTTCATCTTCCTAATTATATCTTTAAAACTATCATGACCTCTCACAACCTTAAACTGGAAAGATTACCTCCACCGCAGAAAATGAGGTGAAATGAACGGTAAACAGAAAGGGTCCTTCGTGCCAGGTAAGCCTCTGACTGGGAAAAGCCCTCCATGTTGTTTCATTATTCGACTGACTCGTTCACTCTTGAGACGCCTCCAAACTTCAAAACCTGGGCACACTCTCCTCCAAGCCGCTGTCTGCCATGCCGCACTGGAGTGCGTATCCACAGCACGCGGAGAGCGGCCAGCATTCCTGGGCCGGATACGGGCCCCCCATTCTCGCGGCTGTTCCAAACACTCCTAAACCCCAGGCTGAAAAATCTCCCCACTCGGAATCAGACCACCTCCCTGCTCTGTCGGCAGGCTCAGACAAGGCTGCACGTCTGGCCGAGACCCACCCTGTATACATGTAAGACGCCTTTCTGTGGAGTCGCTTCACACAGGTTAGAGCACACCGCAAACCAGCATGGCCCCAAGAGTACTGCTCTCATCTTCCTCTGTGTGAGCAGAAAGGATTCTTCCTCCCCTATTTCTTATCATAGCTCACCTTTAGTCACTCAACAGTGCACACTTGTCTTTGAGATATGGCTGATTTCATTTAACCAGTATTTCTTTAAATAATATACTTTGAGTGTGTATTTTTTTGGGCCAAAGGGTTTTAGTAAGGCAGGAGGAGGAACTTTGTTCTTACTCGCTCTTGCAAAGCATAGCTAGCTGCTAAACCCCACCAAAAATGCCTTTAATACAAAGCTCAAAATATTTGGGGGGAAAAGAGAGCAAAAGAGGGAGGTGGAGTTTGGACTCCAATTAAGGCATTTTTTAAACACAGTCCAACATGAGTCTTACTGGAAGGGAATCCTAAAAAGGCATTTCAATGGGAATGGCAAAGGTCACACGAGTCTGTCATCAGCACTGTGGAACCACCGATTGCTCACTCCAAATGTAACCATGCCCAGTGTCCGTGTCTTTAGTCCTTGGTTCTCTCATTCTGCAAGTGCACAGGTTATGTTTTCTGAGGATCTGGGGAAAATGGGCCAGGGGTAGAAGGTCCATCCAGGCCAGACAGAGTGAAAGGCCCATGACTGTTCAGAACAGAAGGAAACTGAGGAAGAAAAACAGAACACATTATCATCCTGTACTCAACAACACTTTCTGTCCCTCCTCGCTTCCTGGGGCAGAACACAAGAGCCACCAGCAGTGGCTCCCTGGACAAACCAGTAACTGTTTATCATGAAAGAATACAATGTCACAGCAAAAGCTGTGAAGAAAGAAGGTTAAATATTAACACTTTCCGGGCTGCCTGATGGAATGGAAAGCACAAACCCACGCCTCCCCTCACTCCCCAAGGTGCACAGGGTTACACTGAACTTAAAAGGAAGGTTTTAGAAAGTTCAGTAAATGACAACATGCACCACCGAGTATATTCAATTATAAAGCATATCATGGACTGTCAAAAAGAGGCGCAGAAAGAGATTCCCACCTATTAGCTCTATTTATAACTGGTGCAAACAGCTGCAGGATGCTCACCCCCGAGGGCCCCCACCACACACCCTGAGACACTCCTACTGGGGGCTCCAAGAGGAGACTGCCAGGCACCACATGTGGCTGAGGCCTCAGGTTCACCCTGTAACCCAATTATCCATGTGTGAGCGGCAGAGGAGGAAATGAGAAAAATTCCCAACACTTTCTGCTCAATAACTTAGAACTTTGTCAAAAAATGCAGAAGTAGAAGGATTTTTAGTTTTCTTCTTTTTCTTTAACATTTCATTCCCCAAAAGAAAAAAAAAAGTTAAATTACAAAAATGTAAGAAAATCTTCCAGGGGCCATGGATGGCGTAGCTTAGTGGATTGAGCACAAGCCTGTGAAGTGGGGGGTCACCAGTTCGATTCCCAGTCAGGACACGTGCCTGGGTTGCAGGCCAGGTCCCCAGTGGGGGACACATGAGAGGCAATCACATATTGATGCTTCTCTCCCTCTTTAAAAAAAAATCTTCCAGCGTGTCACCCCTGGATGAGTGGATGAATCAATCATAAGAAAGACTATAAGTTATAAAGTCTAGATGTTTGGGGGCAAAATAATAGTTAAAATCGCTAAGACTTTTTCCTAAGATCTTGGTTAAGAGATAATATTCATTTAAAAATATATATTTAAAATGCTGATAAATAGAAATTCTGAGGGGAAGCAAGAGTATTTGATAAACTATTCTCAAGAGCTTTCTCTATTTGTTTTTAAATCCTCAGTCAAAAGGGGAAATCTAACGGTCAGGAGTTCCACCCCCAACACTATGTATATATGTGTTTGTATGAATGCATATACATATGTACAACTTTTTTCCAAAACAGGATTTCTACACTTTAAAATGACAAAAAATACTGGGCAGGCTCAAAGCCTGCTACAGCCCAGAACCAGTCTCGGTCTACCTCAAACGTACATAATAGTCAACAATGTGAAGGAAGCTTTGCTGTGAATGTTTATCTGAGCTGTTTACGGGCTAGGAAATTAGCACTTAGAAATTCAAAAACGAAACTGAAGAATCTCTATTAAACAGAAGTTTTATAATGCTTAAACCGAAGGGGGGGATACTGCCCTTTTGCATCTTGCTCCGTTTACCACGGTCCCTAAAAGAGACAGCCCTTTCTTTCATTTACCTGGAAAAGCGTGTTAGCACCTTGCAGTCGGGCTGGACTGAGGGGAGCAACAGGGCTGAGGGTGCTCCAGAAATGGATGCTGGAGAGCAAGGGGCTCGGAGTCAGTAAGATGGGCGTCTGCAACACACAAAGCAAAAAGAGCCCCTAAATGACACATCCGGGTTACGCTTTACCGGCAGAATGATACAGAAACAGCCCCGAACCCAAATCCCATCCACTCTCCACTTGAAACCTCTCCAAGTCTGAAACTGTATCATCAGGAAAAACTCAGAAAGTATTTGTACAGCTTAAGAAAGATAAAAGTCAAAATATTTTCTAAATTCTCTTTTGTAGGGTCTTTCCCAAATAGAAAAACCAGTCTGAATTCATGTGTGGAAAAATAATGGGTAACTGACACGGTCCTGAACTAAAGGGGGGGGGGATGTGGGTGGGAGGGGTGTGCAGGGTGGAGGGGAGTGAAGGGAGGGAAATGGGACAACTATAATGGCATACTCAATAAAAAACATATATTTTTAAATGGGTAACTGAGTCTGAAATGTGGTTTTCTTAAAAATGAGAAGATCTGTGAGTAACCCATCTATTTAAATGCTATATTTAAGCAAGGTATGATAACTGTAGAAACTTGCTACTCAATATCAACCATTTCTTTTTCTTAAGGTTCTCAGGATCAACTGTTTTCTAATTTGAGATTATCACTGTTTGTTTTTTTAATAAGATAGCAACCAGTTTTATCAGAGCAACCCCCCCCAAAAAAAAACAGACATACAAAAGACAGGGAGAGGCCTTATTATCTTCAGAAGGAAGCGGAAAACCATAATATGTTTTTACTTGTAAAATAATGAATTTTTACCACAGTGCTCCAAACCTTCAGTTTTAGAGACTGTAACTGGGGTGAGGAATTGGGTTACTTCCACAGGGTCACATATAAACCTTTCTGAGACAAACCTAAGTAGCAGAACAAACACTTAAGGGTATAACTCTGGATTTGTTTAAAAAAATGAGTAAATGCAAACGACGGTGGCACTCAAGATGAAGCACAAGCTACCTGTGAGAAAAGTGCTGGCGTGAGGGAAGCTGTGGGGAGAGACGGGCTCAGGATCCCCAGCGGGCTCGGGTCGCTGCCCGTGATCACGAGGATGGGGGCCAGCTCCAGCCCTTTGGGCTTCTTGGATCTTGATGAGTTATTTGTTTTGTCCTTTTCTGGCAACGCTGAGTCCTGGTCTTTAGGCTCCAGGGACAAGTTCTCTGGCAGTTCCATTGGCTGAGAAGCCACAGAATCAATGTTTGTGTCGACGTCTGGGTTGGAACTTGGTGGTGGCGAAGGTGTTCTAGGAGGCTGAAAGGAAGGGGACACGGAGGGGACAGGTGTGTCGAGAAAAGCGGGAGCTACGCTGGAGGCAGAGGTTGGCGCCTCCACGGCAGGCAGTTTGGGGGAAGCCAAAGTCTCCAACTCTTGGATCGTTTCTTCTGAAGATGGAGAAATACTTGAGCTGGTTGAGATGGTGGCAATAACAGGTTCAACCAGTGGCTTTTTGGAAGGTGTTGTTACAAATTTAATGACAGATGGTGTTGACTCCTGAGATTTTCTCTCTGCCAATTTCTCAGCTGGATTCTCGATCTTTATGGACTTGAGAGGCTTCCTCTTGGAGGCGTTCAGAGAGTTGAGAGTAAATGAAGAGTACAAGCCGGAGTGAATGTAGTCATTGCGGCTGGAGGCCTTGGCCCCTGGCTGCGGTGGCTTGTCTCTCCCTCCGGTCTCCACTTCTCTGGGGCCGATGCTAACCTCACTGAAGCTGAAGGCTTCACAGTCCCCGTCCACCCTGCCCACCTTCATGGGGTCCATGCTCAGAATCTCCGGGTAAGAGACGAACTTGTACACAAACTTCTGGCCATTCACTTTTTTAATGATATTCTGTAGGTAAATAAAATATGCATTCTTACAACTTTACCTCCCATAGGTCACAAAAAAAGCTGACCTGATAATGTTCTCTATTTGACAAGCAGCTTACTTACAAGCTTCAAAATTATCCAAAGTCACCTAAATTATCTAGCTATACTTAACATAGTTCCTACTATTGTGGAACATAAGTTAAGAACATTTAAATGTCTTATTAACAACTGAATTAACATGTTAATAAAAGCTGAAAGATTTTAACTGCTTAACACTTTGAAGCAGTATGTGTACTAAGTCAAAACTCACTGACCTGAAATCTAAAACAAGTCCAAAAGTACAAGCCATACGCATGTTGAGTCAGCAAAAAAATAATTGAACACTTTACTTCTACTAAGGTTGCTTCAAAAATTCCAGCTATTGCCCTGGCCGAGTGGCTCAGTCGGTGGGAGCACGATCCTGTGCACCAAAGGGCTGCAGGTTTGATTCCTGGGTGGGGCGCGCATGGGAGGCAACCGATTTGGTATGTGTTTCTTTCTCTCTTTAGCTCTCTCTCTCTCTCTCTCTCTCTCTCTCTCTCTCTCTCTCTCCCCTTCCCTCTCTTTCTAAAGTTAGTGAACATATCCTCAGGTGAGGATTTTTTAAAATTTTTTTAGTTAAAAAAAATTCCAGTTGTTGCTTACCTCATGTCACCATGCAGCACAGCTGATAAATATCAACCACTTAAAGATGAAAGAAATTAAAATCCCAACTTCTTATTCCAATTCCATGCATTTGAGCCATTTATTTTACCTCAGCGCCCAAAGTGTATTCAAAATAACACAGCATTTAGAACTGCTGTTAACTAAAAAAATCAATTCTCTACATTAATAGGTATGCTGTAAGGTACTAATTCGTGTATTCTGAATTAAACTAAAGAGTAAAAATTAAGAAAAGCTAAAACACAATAAATGACAATTTATAAAGTAAATCAGGATATATACAAGAACAGTTATCCTCCAAAGTCTCCAGTTGCCTTGCCCTTACTCCAACCCGACACTGACTGTCGCTTTGGCAACTGCAACCCGGAGTGAAATACGTGTGATGGGAGTGGAGCATTGAGATCTGCAGAAACACAACTGGAACATTTCCGTCCCTCCAAACTCCAAAACTGCTTAAGTTATAAAATAAACTGGATTAAAATCAACCAGGACGGTGATGATTTTGCAATGTCAAATCACAAATATCGAATCATTGTCTTATACCCAAAACTAGTGTAATGTTATATTTCAACTGTACCTCGATTAAAAATTAAATAAACCAGGACATTCCAGAGAAGGGAAGGAACACTTCTTGTTCTGAGGTGGAGGTGTATTACCTTCACGTAATAGTATCTGAGGGCTCGGCTGAGTTTGTCGTAGTTCATATTAGGCTTGTTCTTCCGTATTCCCCAGAGCCGAGCCACCTCCTCTGCCTGCAAAAGCTTGAACTCCCCATTGTCAGAGGTCCAGCAGATCATGTGCTTGTTCTGAGGCTCCTGGAGGAGCTGCAGGAGGAACTGCCACAGGGTGATAGCACTGTCCATAGCACTGAGCTGAAGAGGCACACAGAGGAGAGACAATGATGTTGACAGCTGGCCCTTCCAGAACACTGTCAGGCACTGTCTGAAGTGCTCCACATGTATTCTTTTCATCTCTACAACAGATACTATTGCAGCCTCCTTTTCTAAAGAAAAGAATTGATTCATAAAAGAATTAAGTCATTTGTCTAAGGTAAATTAAACGAGGGAGCTGAGATTTAAACCCAGGCAGTAGAATCAAGTCCAAACTCTCAAGATGCCACACTACTTAAGAAAAGCCTTGCTAGGAGATACCGCTAGTTCCACCGGAGCAGTCCGATGACTGTCACTAGAGGATCGCTGTTATTGAACTTCCCTTACAGACTCATTGTCGTGTTCTCCGAGGAGACCACCATTGCAGCGTCCAGCTTAGTCGACGCAGCTGACCCAGCTGCCAGGACGTGCCCACGTGTGTCTCTGTGTGGCCCCAGGGTTACAGGGAGTAATCTAATCTACTTTTGCTCTACTGGTATTTCTCCTTCAAATAGTTTCCATTATCATAAATACAACTTACACATAAATTGGCAGCCCTGGAAATTCAGCAAAATTTTTGTCCCTGACTTAATTTACAAGTTCTGTCACTGCTCTGTCCACAATCCACCTTCCGTCTGATTAGCAACCTTTATTTAATGTCCAAGACTCGACCTGAAACATCCTTCAATATCTCAAGTTTTAGGATCTCCCTATTTCAGCCAGAGTTTCTCAATGACTGATATTTTGGGCCAGATCATTCTTTGTTCCTGGAAGCTGTCCGGTGCACGAATGGCATCGCTGTCCTCTGCTCACGAGGCACCTCCTACCCAACTGTGACAATCAAAAATGTCTAGATGCCCTGGCCAGTGTGGCTCAGTAGGTTGGGTGTCATCCCGCACAGTGAAAGGTCACCAGTTCGAATCCCAGTCAAGGCACATGCCTAGGTTGTGGGTTTGGTCCCCAGTTGGGTTCATACAAGTAGCAACTGGCTGCTGTTTCTCAAATCAGTGTTTCTCTCCCTCTTTCTCCCTCCTTCCCCTCTAAAGATAAATAAATAAACTCTTTTCAAAAACACGTCCCCCGCCACCCCCGGGGAACAAAAATCACCCCAGGTGATGACCATTTCACTGGCTCGGGCAATGGAGCAACAAGGAAATGTTCAGTTATTTTTCTCATAAAACTTCAAAACACCCTGTTTAACAGGAAGAACTTTAGAGCAGAAATTCTGGCCAAATACATATAAACACATGCTAAGAAGCCCACTTCTAAACTATACCCACATGAAAGCAAAAACTTCCTTTTTTTTAAAATCTAGAAATGAGGTCTCAGTGGATCAGGATAGGACTTGAAAACAATTATTAAATCAATCCATTAAATTACAAAGACAGGCGAACTAAACTATATCAAAATTTAGAACTTCTATGCTGCAAACAATACCATCAAGTGAGAAGACAATCTGCAGAATGGGAAAAAATATTTTCAAATTATAGGAACTTGCATCATAAAATTATTTAAAAACTCTTACAATTAAAAAAAAAACAGAAAATAGGTGAAGAATTCAAAAAGACATTTCTCCAAAGATAAACTGTCAATAAGCACATGAAAAGGCGCTCACCATGGTTAGTTATTACGGAAATGGAAATAAGCCAGCTCAGATACCCCTCCACACCTACTGGATGGCTGCAATTAAAAAGACAAACAGCAGCAAGTGTCAGCCAGGATGTGCAGAAAGTGAAACGCTCACATCACAGGTGGGAACGCAAAGCGGTACAACCACTTGGAAAACACTTTTGACAGTTTCTTGAAGACTAAATATATTCACCGTATGGCCCATCAATTCCACTCGTAGCTCCATACCCCCCCCCCAAAATGAAAATATACATCTGCACAGACCTCTGTGCAGGAATCTTCACAGCAGCATTACATGTAATATCCAAAAAAAGCAGAACCGCCCGAATGTCCACCCACTGATACTTGACAAGCAAAATGTACAACAGTACCACCCAAGAGTAGATCACCCAGAGAAAGGAATGAAGTAATGATAGAGTCTATAACAAGGGTGGACCTTGGAGACACTGTACCAAGTGAAAGAAGCCAGACACAAGAGGACAAATTTTGCAGGATCCCACTCATATAAAATGTCCTGAAGAGGCACACCTACTGGACACAGAGAGATGGGTGGGTGCGAAGGGATGGAAGTGGGTGGGAAGGACACAGGGGAGTGACTGCTCACGGGGTAATTTACACATTCTAACTCAGACTGTGGTGGTCATGGCACAACTCTGTGAATATACTAACGCCATTTAATTTTACAGTTAAAGTAGGCAAATTTTATGGTATGTGAATTATACCTCAATAAAGATGTTAAAAACAAGTCAACACGACAAATATTATAAAAGTTAGGCCTGTGAAACTCAATTCTAACAAAGTATAACTCAGACAGGATGGGATCCTTAGCAGTCACCTATATATGCCTCCACAAAGGGCAGAGATACGGAACTGTAGTGGGAAAATGTCTAATATCTGGGTTTCTGTAACTTCACCGAGACGCTCAGGATGTCCTCCAATAAATAGGCCTCAGAGTTATCACTCGAAGCTCATTATGCAGAGTTACTGTCGTCTGAAAGTAGAGATGGGAAAATACAACAAAGAACACACAGCGGGAGAAGCCCCCCAGGGACAGAGTTCACGGAGAGGCTGAGGCCGTGACTCCAACTCTCTTTCGTAACAGGTCACACACTCTGTCCACTAGGGAGACCACTTCCCTGGATGGACAAAGCCCTTATACCGTGGCCAGCTGTAAAGAAGTATTACATATTAGATACTAAGTGATAACAACCTACAACTAACACGTGCTCCTTTAATGCTAAATAACCAAGCCCACTAGAAATCAGTCTCCCAAAGCCTCACTTAATCTAGGTTAAAATACTGGCTTACATTATTATATCCACCAAGCACTGGGGCACAGAGTTGGGGTGCCCTGCCACGTCCCTGAGTTTACCAGAGAGGGCTTTCTTCCTCTGGTGCCTGTCCATGGCAAGTTACTTTTTAACCATGTGTATTTCCCACGTAAACAATTACTCGTTAGTCTAAACCTGTTAAAACTACACCCTACTAAATTTTGCTTAACCAAAGAATGCAGTCTCTACAATCCCAGATACCATCTTCATATCAAGACTGCCTACAGGAGTGGGAGTGGGAATGGGGGAATGGACGGTGAAGGCTATGGTGGTGATGGGAGGAGGGTGGAGAGGAAGATGAGGAGGGGGAGGAAGAAAGAATTAAGTCACGATTACTGCAAATTTGGTGTTTATAATTCCATGTTTTTGGAATAATCCCCAAAACCAAAATTAGAGTCTTAATACCTGTCACCGTAGATAATGCTGGAGCCCTACAGGTTTACAACAGCTAGGCTGCACATGCAGAAAAACAAAGTTAACATCAACGGCTCCACCGTGAGCGTCCAAGTCTCATCCTGAGCAAAGGGGAGGTTCCCACGAGCACGGGTGTGTCCAAGGTGCTGCGGGTTTATTCCACAGCTAAGTTGGTTGTTTGAAGAGCGCGCGTGCCCAGCTGTTGGGTACTTTAAGGCAGAACCTAACTGCTGCGGAAAAGGCCGATGCTTCCTCAGCACTTCCCAGTGCGGCAGGAAAGAGCACTGTTGAGAGTATGAGAAAAAGGGCATTGTGTTTTTTAACTCGAGTACTGGAAGAGAATTTTCTTTTGCTAAAAAATAACAAAGACATACAATGGACATCTTCAGAGGGTACTTAAAGAAATATTTTATTCAGTCAATTTTGATATCTGGTTATTCTTTGACTGAAAAGTTGGGGGTGGCTGGGTATAAAGTTAAGCTGAACTCTTCATTTTAGTTCCTAAAAGTGTGCCATTAATTTGAAATTCAATGATTTCCTCAGTCATAAAAGAGAACTAAAGGAAAATATTCTTCAAGGCAGTTATTATTTTACAAAGGTGAAATAGTAAAAAATATACTTTTATCTTTCCTACCTATTAGTCAAAAAAGAGAAACCCCTCATTTTCCTTCTCACAAAAATCTCAGGTTTCCTACAATGACAGTTGTAAAAGTTTGTTTGTATGTTTGTCTGTTTTAGTAGAAGCATAATGAGGGAGGGAAATAGCTGATCCAAATGAAGGACTGGCTTTTCAGGGGTCAAATGGTGAAAAACATAATTGATTCAACTTTAACATTTCAAAGATGGCAGACTAATCTCTGTGTGAAACAGAAAGAGTGAGCATCTGGAAACAAGTTGTTAGGTAAAGAAAGTCCCTATTAAATGAAAACTTTTCCACCCTAAATATGCTTAAATACACAGTCTGGTTGCTGTGGTGACCCATAGGCCAATTGTTTTTCAGAAAGAGTAGCTAAGACCCCCCCAAAAGTCTCCAAATTCAGTGTGCTGCTTAAGTGAAACAAAACCAAATTATAAAATGTACGAAGACTAGTCCTGAATTAAAATAACTGTCGTCAAAAAGTAACCAGGTGTCTAGCTGTGCAGTAGCCTATACTGACAATATTAAAAGTATACTGCTACTTTACAATTGGAAGACAGTATTTCCCTTAAAATGTAATGAATCCACTTACGCAACTGTCATGTTTAAATAAAATCAAAGAGAGCATGGGAGGAGGGACTGAATCATACTACACTTTAACAAAAACACCGCCGACCGTCCTAAATATTGAAGGACCAAGTTTTGCACTCCGTTGGGTGGTGGGTGGAAGACCACGAAAAGGGGGCGGAGGGTCTGACCCACGAACCTAAGAGATGGGCGAATCGTTCTGATGAATAAAACTCGAGCCTTTATTTAAATACTCTAAACTTCGAAGTAGCAATAGGCTGAGAAGTCGCCAAATGTGCGTATACCTCTGGACTACTTCCTTCAACAATACCTCTTATAACCTGCCGAGGCCAGTAAATATTACACCCCCAAAGATTCCAACTGATCTTCCTAAGAATGAAGAAGCTACCGGCCCAGCTACACGTGAAGCGGAAAGTCAACGAGATTTGCTACCAAGAAGTAGAAAAAGAAATGAAACTTGACACCGGATGAACAGCGAGTTTCAGGAGAAGCAGCAGCACGGTGACCGAGTGCCGCAGAGATCAAAGTTTGGAGAAAGCGCCGCAACCTCACCGGCCCTGGTAAGCACTGAATTACTGTACTTTCATTTTCCAATTTCCTGTCACCACAAAGAGTCCAAATTGCTGCTTTCTTCGCCCCCTCCCCCAGCAAAAACAAAAATACCGCCACCTTCCGCCCGAGGGATCTGCTAGAACTGGTAAGGGGCGAAAGGAAGGGGGCGGGCGGGCGCTTCCCAGTCCACCTGCGCGCGCGGGCTGGAGCCGCAGGACAGGGCGGCACCCGGCGGGATAGCGCTGGGGGTGGGTCCCTGGGGAGCGCGCCCGCAGTCCCCCGCCCAGCCCCCGCCACGCTCCTGCTTCCTGTTGGGCCGCGAGCCGCCGGCTCCTGCTCCCCTTTTTGGGGGCGGAGGGGACAGGAAGCGCGGCTGCAAGACCCCGACGGGGCGCGCCGCTCACCGAGGCCGCGTGCGGGGCTCCCTCTGGGTCTCCGTCGCGAGCACGACGCTGCTGTCCACCCACCGCTTCCTCACGCCGGCACCTCTGGGACGGCGCGGCAGCCACGGTGACAACCGCGGCGGAGCCGAAGAAGGCGGCGGCGGCCGACCCCAGCCCGCTGGGTGCCCGCAGCCGCCCGCATCTCCCGCCGCCACCGCCACCACCCCGGCCGCGACTCTTCGCGCCCCGCCCTGCCGCCCCCGCACGCGGTTGTCTGGCCGCTACCCGCGGGCGCGCGCTGAAGCGTTCCAGGCCGCCGCCGGTCTGCCAATCGCCCAGCGGTCGCCGCCCCTCTCGCACCCCCCTGAAGCCTCGAGGCCCCTCCCGGACGCCGTAAGCCGCGCGTCACTTCTGGGGGCGGGAAAGGAGGAGCCGCCGCGAGTAGGAGAACTGGGAGCCGCGGCAACCCCCAGCCCTGGGTTCTCGGGGCAAGGGTTACGCGCGTGGGCGCGGCGGGGGCGCAGCCTGGCCCCCAGTGGCCACTCTTCGCCCTATTACTAATCAGTTACTGTTTATGGGTCACGCGTCGCCTACTTACGCTGTTACCAATGCGGGGATCTTCGGCGGCATGCTCTCGTTATCTCCCGGTCCGTGGGAAGAATTGATGCGTGACCGGGGGCCTCCCAGGGTATCACGTCTCTGGCTGCTGAGCCAAGTGTGAGGGCTTCTCCCCCTTCTGTGCTGCTGGCTCAACCTTCCCTGTGGCGTGGACGGATAAGTGGGGACCCCCGCAGCTTTCTCATAGAAGTGCCAGATCCCGGGACACTGCAAACACTTGATAAATACTAATTCAGCACTGCGGCTTTCTGTCCTGGGGACTGACGAATGGAAAAACTCGTGTTGTGGGGGAAGCTTGTTCTGGCGTTGGAGTCGGACCTGGAATCTGGTCGTGGCTCTGTCCCTACCTAACTCTTACCAACTTTCTTGACCTCTCAAAACACATCGTCAGCTATAAAATGGAGAGAACTCAGTCTCTTAAGAGTTGTGCTGATGAGAGGAGATGAGGTGCATAAGTCACCTAGCAGAGTTTCTAGCCCACAGGTTGTGCTTAAATAGAATTTTTTTAAAGATTTTATTTCTTTTTAGAGGAGGAGGGGAGGAGAAAGAGGGAGAGAAACGTCAAGGAGTGGCTGCCTCTTCTACGCCCCAACTAGGAACCTGGTCCATAACCCAGGCATGTGCCCTGACTCAAAATCAAACCAGTGACTCTTTGGTTGCAGTCGGCACTCAGTCCACTGAGCCACACCAGCCAGGGCTGAATACAATTCTTAAGGAACCAGTTCACACTTGGTTCAAGAGGCTACTTGAATAATTTAGCAACAGAAGGGATGCGCGATCATTATTAATATGCTGAACTACTGAACAAAACCTCCAAGAAACACATTGCATGTTCTATTTAACAGGAAACCAAAGGAAGGCCAGTGTTTGAGTTACTTCCTGTGCCTCATTCACTAGCTGTGACCTTAACCTCTGAACCTCAGTCTCTCAGGTGGAATGAAGATGATAAATGAAGAATATTGAGAAGATTAATGAGATAACAGCCATAATCAGCTTAGTGCATTACCTGGCATATATTAGACACCTAGTAAATGTTGCTGTTATTCTCCCACACCCATGATTGAATTCAAGGTAAAATAATTGAATTCACTGAAGGAAACATGATCCCATCACTTCCCCCCACACACACTGCCTGAGACAGAGGGGCAGGGAGGGAGAATGAGAGGGCGAGAAACATCAATCAATGTGTGGTTGCCTCTCCTGAATCCCTACTGGGGATCTGGCCTGAAACCCAGGTGTGTGCCCTAGATGGGGAGTTGAACCAGCAACCCTTTGGTTTACAGGCTGGTGCTCAGTCCACTGAGCCACACCATCTTGGGCCACTTGCTTTGATTTCCAACTTTTCCCGTCTTAATAAAGAGGAAGTATAATACACAGAGGTTTCCTGTAAAAGCAACGCTACCAAAAGACATTAGCTTTTCTTTTAAAGATATTTTTTTATTTTTAAGAGAGGAAGGGATGGAGAAAGAAAGGGAGAAAAACATCAATTGCCTCTCTCATGTGCCCGAGGAAATCGAACCAGCAACCTTTTACTCTGCAGGATGATGCCCAGCCAATTGAGCCACACCAGTCAGGATGACATTAGCTTTTCTAAAATAATTTTTACCAAAGGATGTAAGAAATTTGTGTTTTCAGCCCTGGCCAATGGCTCAGTTGGTTGGAGTCTCATCCTGCGCACGAGAATTTTACCAGTTGGACCGTTTGATTCCCATCAGAGCACATGCTTGAGTTGCTTGATGTTTCTCTCTAGAATCAATTAAGAAAGAGATGTGTGTTTTAAAAGGAACATGAAATACATGAAACTTCTAGCACCCTTGGCACCTAATATAAATTTTTCCTTGCAACAGCTTCCATTTTAGAAACCAAGAGGAAAAATGAGAATTGTTCAGGTAGGCCGATTGAGGCACACCCGTTAGAAACATCTGAGTACAGGAAGGCTTCATTTTCTAGCCCCGGACCAAGGACAGCGCGTGGCTGGGGAGCGCTCCTACGCTGCTCTGCCGCTGCTCTTCCTTGACGAGGAAGAAAAGTCTGACTCGGCCTCAGGGTCCAGAGTTGGTCACAACCCCTTTAGACCCAGCTGACAGTACTGCCAATTACTGTATTTTTGGAAAAGATCCTACTTTGGGAGTTCTTCAGTTAGTCATAGCAAGTCCGTCTGCTTTTAAATTGACTTTTTTTTTTTTTAACACAGTACATGTTGACAGCAAAGAATCAAGAAGAAAAGTAGATTTCAGATTAGTGAACTGGGGGAGAAAAGTTTATTCATGTGCCTGGTTTTCCCACTCGAGATTCTATAAATACTAAATCTCTCTCCATGTTTCCTCACACAGCAGATGGTTCTGTTTTTGCAAGCTCCATAGTGGTTGTGTCGGTGAACCAAAAAGATTGTACTTTTTTATTATCTTGTTTGGTCATTTTCCCTCTAGATGGATGGATTCCTAACCTTAGCCATAGCTACTGAGGACTATCTCAAATCACATCTGCTTTGCGCTCTTGTTAAATGACACTACAAGTATTGTGTATTGGGGTTGAATGTTAGACAGAGGAAAAGTTATCTTTGAAAATAAAATGTAGGCCCCGGACTGCCAGCTCATTTGGTTAGCGCATCATCCGGACACGCCAAGGCTGCAGGCTTGATCTCCGGTCAGGGCACAGACGAAAATCAGCCAGCGACTGCCAAGTAAGTGGCACAGCAGATCAGTGTCTCCCCTGCCCCTTTCTCTCTCTCTATCTCTGAAATCAATCAATAAAAAATAAAATGAAAATCTTTAAAATGCAGGTAGCTGTATATTGAATTTGGCTGCATTAGTGAACCACCTACCTATTGAGACCCTAAAATTCACCAAAGACAACCAATGAGGTGATGCTGAGAAATACCTTCGCCAAAGCTATCATTCTGGGTAAAGAAGTTTCATGCCCAATGATAAGACCTTCTGGTTTTATCATCAGGAGGTATTTGAGGCCCAGAGAAAAACCCATGAGAAAGTCCTTGAACAAGGTACTTGCAGCCCCTACATTCTGAGGAAAGCTCATGGCAGCATCTTTCAGCCCTCGCCGGCACGTCCACACGACACTGTCCCACAGAGGGAAGGACAAGGCGTCAGGTATCACAGTCACGTGCCCGAGGCATAGCAACTGTCTAATGCATTTGATGGTCCGTCACAAACACACCTCAGGGGTAGCTTCATATAATTCTAACTTTTGGAATCTATACCTGGTCTACTTCTGTCCTCCTCCACTAATATATACTTTTAATATTTTATTTATTTATCTTTAGAGTGGAAGGAAAGGAGAGAAGGAGAGCAATATCAATGTATGGTTGCCTCTCATGTGTCCCATGCCAGGAACTGGCCCGCAACCCAGGCATGTGCCCCGACTGGGAATTGAACCTCGATCTTTTAATTCACAGGCCTGCACTCAATCCACTGAGCTACACCAGCCAGGGCGAATATTTTTCACCTGAAATTATTTTACTGATCTTTCATGCACGTACTTTTGAAATTGCTAATGGGGAGTATGTGGGAGAGACAGGCGGGAGCCGGCCACTTGATTCCTCACTACCCTTTGGGAACGGTGCGGACTGACAAAGCCCACCTCACCCCGCCTCGCGGTGAGACTCGTGAGACTCCGGGTGGTCTGCTTGACTCCTTGCTGTCGCGTGCATATTCCTCTGAATTTTAAGCCAGAAGTTTTGTTCCCTCCCTTGTATATTTTATGATAACCAGTCTGGAAAGCTTTCTCTTTGTCAATTACAGTTAATTCAGGAACCACCGATGTATAATACTATTCTGTTTACTATAGACAATGCTGTATATACTATGTTGTTTACTAAGGGGTAAACTCCAAAAGGTTGTACTCTTTTCTAGGAATTTTCCATCTCGGACCAGCAAACTTCGGAAACCATCTTTGCTATCACGACTTCCTCAATTCTAGAGTTCTCTCGCACTGACTCTTTTGATCTTATTGACATAGACAAACAGTTCGGCTACGGACGTAGAGATGATGGGAGGGCAAAGCCAGGGTGACGAGAATGAAGAAATGCAGCTCTGAACAGCAAGCGAAATTACCACCTCCCCCTCGCCTGAGGAACATTTCCTGAAAGAGGTGGAGTTGGAGAGACTTGGTGCTAATTCAAAAATGCGTAATGCCAGCTTCTTTCTCCCTTACTTTATTTATCCAGCTGCAAAACAAAATTAGCTTTGCGCTGCTTGAGAACTTAGCTGTGAGTTGTACGGCCAGTTCAGAAGCCTGACACGGCTGCCAGCCCCACCCCCACCCCCAGAGTCTCAGGAAGGCAATTTGAACTCTGTCTGGGCTCACCCTGCCAGGTGGGAAAATTGGTAGGTCTGTAGGGCCTTCTTCCTCCCTCTTTCTCTCAGCTTCTCCCTGCTTCTCAGAAAATGCAGCTGAGTGTGTCTAGCAATCAGATTCCAATGAGAGAGCCTGGAAGTGGGGGGGGACTAGAGGTTCTCCCATGGTGAAGAAGAAACCGAGGCCAAGGCTACTTGAAGCGGAGTTGCAGCGAGGTTTTGGTTGGAACTGTACCCTCTCCACACTGTACCTTTCATCCTCCTTTGCTTCCTCCTCGCCCCTCATCCCAGCCCTCTCTCTCAGCCTTGCTTTCTCCCTCCGTCTA